AAACACGTAAGTAACAAAATAGAAATAACAACATTAATTAAATAGCTATACGTTGTCCTATTATTAATTTTTGCCCATAAACTCTTCTTCCGACTGACCCCCGTTCCCTCGGGTTGACATTCTTCTATGTCCACTAACTCCATGGCGGTAACGGTTGATAGAAACACAATAGCGGGTTATTTGACGGTGCAAAATGAAATATCATATAAACTAACGTACGCCATGGCCTACTTTTCGCGACTGTTTATTACATTTTTACTCGCCCAGCGCAGCGTCAAATGTCAAATTATTATCAGATTTGCCGTACAGTGTTTACAGTATATATGCTATAGATTCACCTATTTTGTATTAATATTTTCTTAGGCAACTTATGTAAGATTGATTAATTGGCAACAACTAATTATATTATTTTAAAATAAAACATTGCTGTAAATAAAGAAATAAGGACTAAAAAGAAAATTCAAATTGGAATAGTTGCAATGTTCGCAGAATACATATTCAATGTGTGTCATGTTTTAAAACAACTTATGACCATAAATGTACTTCCTGAAATTATTTTGTTTGTACATTTTTAAAGTTCTTAAATAAATTTCCCTAAAAAGGCGTTAGAGCTTAATAATAGCAGCACCAAAGACAGCCTTGTCACAGCTTATCAAACTAGTTCTTTAATCGACCAATGAGCAGCTACTCCACCATGTTATTCCCCAGATAAAAAATCTCCATGTTCATATTAATTCCTATAGGTCTTGTAATTTTACAAAATACTTCTGACATCCAACTATTTTTTTAATTACATTTAAGCATAATAACTTAATTTCAATTGAAATAAAACTTATCAAAATTTTCTATTTTATAACTTTCTGATGTTAACAAATTATAAATGAATAAATATTTGTATCTGTGATTTCAATATGTCAATGTCATTTTTTTCCACAACTTCCACTTCAATCCACACGTCGTTTTCCTATAGCAATAAGATATTTTAATTCTTTAGTTTTATTGAGTTCTAACTTAAATGCAATGTAAAGCAGGGCTTGCATCTTGATTAAAATCAAGTGATTACAATACTTTACTGATATTTTAGTTGTGAAAGTTGCTTTAAATATAGTTATTAATAAGTGTTAAAAGTACAGAGAACTAGCCTAACCATGCCGCCGAAGAAAGCAGCTGCAGCCGGCAGCAAAAAAACGGAGCAAAAGAAAAAGGAAAAAGTTATTGAGGTATGTTCAATATCATTTCTATACAAATATAACGACTTTTCTGGTCGTGTAATTTGAAACTTTGAAAATATTAGGTGTCATAATAAGTTGTGGTAATGACATAAAACTGCCTAAATTAGGAATATAATTGTGAAATTAATGGAAATTCCTTAATTTTATGACATATTTGGTAAGTTTATATAAGAGGCAGACGTAAACAAATAATAAAGTGTGAAGTCTGAATAATAATTAAATTACTAAGTATACAATGTTATTTACCACAACAAAGATTATATAACAGAGAAATGTAAAAGCTTACACTTAGTGACAAGTTGCTTCTAACAAATAATAAATTAAAACTTATTGCACAAATAATTTACAACTTTATTTGTATTTAATCTTTTAAGGACAAGACATTTGGTCTGAAGAATAAAAAAGGTGCAAAGCAACAGAAGTTCATACAGCAGGTAGAGAAACAAGTGAAAAGTGGCGGTATACATCCGGCTAAACCTATGGATGATAAGAAAAAAGAGAAAGAACAGAAAATGAAGGAACAGAAAGAGTTAGCTCTGTTATTTAAACCTGTACAGACACAGAAAGTTGAGAAAGGTGATCACATTTTACATCAACAATTATTTGTTCAAATCATACAGTGTCAAAGTTAAAAATTGTTAATTAGCCACTAAGATACTGTTTAAGTAAACATTAAATGACCCTAAGTATCAATAAATATTGTGAACAATAGATTAATGCAAATATAAGTATAAATTGTATTTTATACCAAGTGTTAGTGATTCTTATTTTTTTTCAGGTACCGATCCTAAGTCTGTTGTGTGTGCGTTCTTCAAGCAAGGTCAATGTTTTAAGGGTGATAAATGTAAATTCTCACATGACTTGAGTATTGAAAGAAAGGTAAATAATTTTTATATATTTATACTGAATAAATACACACCTGGATAAGCAAGAAACCCGCTATGAGCGAGAGTTAATGTCCGGTTTCATTGAACAACCTAATTAAGAGAGAAATTTGTGTTACTAGGAAACTTCTGTAAACGAGAAAATTATTGCTTTCTTTAACTCTTGCTCATCTAGGTTTTAATCTGTTAACAATAAGTGATTTGTTGGGCTGTATCCAAAGGAATAGTCAGAGTGGCCATATTTCTATTTTCCTCTTTGTCATTCAAGCAAGCATTCTCATCAGCTTAATAGCAACATGCTTTGCTAATTTGGTCGAATCAATTTGTGGCCTTTAACTTTTTTGTTATTAAATTGTAGGCAGAAAAACGGTCTCTCTATGTTGACATGCGTGATGATGATGATAACATGGACAATTGGGATGAAGATAAGCTCAAAGAAGTTGTTGAAAAGAAGCACGGAGAAGGTGACAAACAGCGGCCTACCACTGATATTGTAAGTCTATTTGCATACATTAATAGCTAAAACGAGGTAGAATAGTAAACGAGGTTTTACTCGTGTATCATGTAAGTTTTATTGTGTATATTTCTATACAAACTGTTGCATGTATATGCTAGCTGTTACCTGAGACTCCGTCTATGAGGAGTTAAAAGAAAACTTCTCTACATTGAAGCCAAATTTCAGGATTTTTTTAAGCCATTTCGGACCTATGTAATAACAATTATATATCAAAATATTCGCATATAGGATTGTATTTTTCATTTTCAGATTTGCAAACATTTCCTTGAAGCGGTGGAAAAATCTAAATACGGTTGGTTTTGGGAATGTCCGTCCGGTACAAAATGTATATATAGACATGCTCTGCCGCCCGGCTTTGTTCTTAAACGTGATAAAAAGAAATTGGAAGAGAAAAAGAACGAAATCTCTCTGGTCGATTTGATAGAAAGAGAGAGAGCAGCTTTAGGTCCTAATCAAACTAAAATAACCCTTGAAACCTTCCTTGCTTGGAAGAAAAAGAAAATTAAGGAGAAACAGGTTTGTTGAATTTTTTAAAATATACCTTACTATAGATATGTGAATGAAAATACTGTTATCTTTCTCTTTAAAAAAACCAGAGACTGTTGTCTCTGGTTCTGTTGACTTTTATGACAGTGAAAATACAGTAATCAGATGTTAGATTTAAAAAAAATATATTATAATTTTCTATTCCACTATCCATTTAATGTTGTTTTCATAAGTTAAATAGTTGAAGAAGCGAGAGTCCAAGTGGGATATTTTCTCGCTTACAGAGGTTTTTCTATCTCTACTTTCTCGCTTATATAGGTTGTCTCTCAACACCAGACAATTACTTATCCAAGTTAACTGTGTTTATTTACTAACTTATAACTAACTTAACTAACTAAATAAAACTTGTAATAAATTCATACATAACCTAAGAAAGACATAAAAACTTTAATAACACTTAACATATGTGTAATTATTGATGTTCATTTCTGTTAACTATGTTGTATGTGTAGGATGCAATGGACAAGGCGGAGGAGCAACGGCGTACGGACTTCAAGGCAGGCAGAGCGGTGGGTCTCTCGGGTAGGGAGATGTTCTCCTTCGACCCAGCGCTGGCCGCGGATGCTGATGAGGTAACAGCTTTTTTGTATATTTCTATGACAATTATCTATAGACTGACCGCTAAAACAGAAAACCAGTCACTATGATATCACAATCTGCTTTTATATTATATTTTATATATAGGTTTCAATCCCTTCTTTTATAAACACATTAATTCCAAATTATTTCTGTTTAAAACATTGTTTTTCACACAATATAATAGTAATTTGCCTTATTATTTGTTGTATTTTTTTCAATTCAACTCTTCATTTAAAAAATGTCGAACAAATTGTTATGACTGCCATGTATAAAATTTAACCTTCTCTATTAATGTAATAAAATTAATCTTTGTGTTTACAGGATGGTGACGAAGCTGTGGATTTGGGCACGTATGATGAGGAAGAAGGCGACACAATTGAATACCGTGAAGTGCAATTCGACCTCATTGGAATGGAGGCATCAGAGGTTGGAATAATTTTTGTAATCTGATGTAGATTTTAAATACATTCAGTGTCACCGTCTGGATTGTCTTATATTCCATGTATTATTTCAAGGACATATTCTTTTCAAGAAATAAGTATAATTTTTATATTTTTGCAGGTGGATGACACTGGTACAAAGGCCACAGAGGATAGATTACAGCAGCTCAGCCAAGGTCTGCAGAATGGTGAAGAAGAGAAGTCCAAAGACGACCCCAGTGCTGATAGTTCTCAGGAAGAAACCGGAACAGCGGTGCCAATTAATGAAAACCTATTCCTCGATGAGGATTTGGATGAAGAGCTTCAAAATTTGGATCTAGAGGATTAGATCAGACTTTTATAAGCAATTGTGTATATATAAAGTATTGGAAGGAATGAAAAAAATAAATTTATCAAAGTTGATGTGTATTGTAATTTGATTTTTCTAACAAATAAAAGTAGCAGTGTTATTTTGGTACGATTACATACAAAATTATCAATAAAACAGTTTAATTTCTTTTTAACGTTTTTTAAAACTTAACCTATATGTAAGCGCGTTAAACCAAACTAGAGTAAAAAAGTTGGCCAAAAGCTTTTTCATTGAATTAAAATGCAACAAGATAGTCTTCCATCGAAAGGACAGCTTTAATGGCTATATGTTATTATTATATAAGAATAATGTATAATAATAAAGAAGGACAAACAAGTGTTTTTTTTATTTCCCATAATAACACAAACTATCCAATTTTACGTTGAAATAATTCGTAAAAGTGATCTTTAGAATGATATGTAGTCTGTGTTCTGTACAATGTCATGTGTCAAAAGTGTCACAATCATATGAAAAATAATACTTAAAGCGAAATATTTCAGATTATGAAATAACTTATTCAATTTAATTTTCAATCGCAAAAAGATATGGCTTCATTTATATTACGTAGAAATATCGTAAGCCGACATTTTAAAAAGCCCTTTTATCAGAATAAACGGAATGCGGGATACGTCGTATTGTAAGTAGAAATTTCTTTCAATATTATAATTAGCACATTATCTCTAAATATGATTATATCTGTCTTATTTTTGCTAAATGCATTCTTGATTTTAGTTTTACTACGCGTGCTGTGTAAGTATTTTGTAATATTTAGGTTAATAACAGAGCTAATGAAGTACTAATAGCCATGAGCCTGTGTCTGAAAGTGATGGGTTTAAATTATTCTAATTTCAGATAATATTGACAATGAATCCAAATGATGTGCTTGATATAGCTTCTGGCAAGTCTTTTAACTACATTTTATAATTAACATAATAATTACTATGTTACAGAATTCCAGAAATAGGTGAAGATGCAGAGAAAAATACATTGCTACTTGACAATGGTTTACCCGAGTTTAACGATGTCACAATTGAGAAATGCATCGCATCAATTAGCAAACAAAGTATGGAATACGAGAGTGGTGTAAGAGAGGTTGAACAATCAGCAGCGGAATGTAAAAATGCTTTTGTAGAAATATTTCAACCATTAGAGAAACTTGATAGCCAACTCGAGCTAACATGGGGTGTAACTAAAACTTTGTACTTGGGCAACAGTTCTCTAATGCCAACAAAATCATATCTACAAATACATGAAAGAGCACATAAAGCTAGGTCGTCGAAATTCACTAGCATACCTATCTTCCAAGCTGCGGTAAACGAAAAAAATCGTTTAAAAGATCTTACAGATGAAGAACAAAGATTATTAGATAAATACATTTTAGAAGGTAAATTAAATGGTTTAGATGTTAAAGGTGTTAACCGTGAAAGATTGAATAGTGTTTTAACTACATTACAGAAAGAGAGGAATTTATTCCGTGAAAAAGTAAACTTTGCAACTAAAGCCTTTAAAAGCACAATAAGTGATGAAGAACTTGTAAAAGAATTTCCCGAAAGTCTTGCAAAGTCTATGTCAGTAAATAATGATGCAAGCAAAGGGCCATGGCTCGTGACTCTGCAACCACATATCTATGAACCCTTTATGCAGTATTGTCCAGACAGAACTCAAAGATGGAATGCATGGCAAGGTTATGTTCAACGGTGTTCTGGTTACGGCAATAAGGAACTTGAAACAAGTACTATATTAGAAAATATTCGCAGTTTACGACAGGAACAAGCTACTATTCTTGGCTTTGATACATATGTTGACATGAGCATGGAAACCAAAATGGCAGGGTCTATAGAAAATGTCAAAAATATCCTGGATAGTTTGCTTGAAAGTGCTCGACCGATGCAGGATATTGAAATGGCTGCTTTACAAACTTTTGCAAACGAAAGGGGCTTAAATAAAAAATTGGAACACTGGGATATTCCGTATTGGCAAAGGAAGCAAAAATGGTCTATGTACAATTTTGATGAGGATAAAATCCGAGAATACTTTCCGCTGCCCAGAGTTGTAAACAGCTTGTTCAATCTGTGTAGTACACTGTTTAAGATTCAAATCGTTGAGAGATCTAATGTGCAGACATGGCATAAGGATGTTAAGTTTTACGACGTATTTGATGAGTCCAGTAACAGTCCCATTGCTGGATTCTATTTCGATCCATACGCACGTCAGAATGACAAGATCCGCATTTACGATGACGCGGGATGGCACGTTTCCATTCGCAATAAATGTGCCGTCACATCAACGCAGCCTCTTTCCGCGCTGATATTTAATTTCCAAGCTCCCGTAGATGGAAAACAGTCCTTGCTATCGTTCAAAGAAGTTACCATATTGTTCCAGAGATTTGGACACTCTTTGAGGCATTTGTTAACCAAAGCAAACTACTCTGAAGTGGCTGGACTTTCGAATGTTGAATGGGACGCGGCAGAAGTGTGCGGTCATGTTATGACACACTGGGTGTACGATCCACATACTATACACGCGATCAGTGGCCACTACAATACCGAGGAGCCTTTACCTGATGATATAGTACAGAATTTACACAATGTAAGACGGCACATGTCCGGATACGAGCTATGCCAGGAATTGTACTTGTCTCGATTAGATCTCGAGCTATATTCGACGAAGACCTTCTGGAGAGATCTTGTTAGACAGATGTGGCCGAAGTATAATGTATTGCCATTCGACAAATATGATTCTCATCCTTTGTCGTTCACGAAAATCGTTTCTGAAGAGTGGGGCGCTGCGTACTACTGCCATTTATGGTCTAAGATGATAGCTGCTGATATCTTCAGCGCTTTCGATGAAGCCAGACAAGGTGACGAGGATATATTGGCTGTGGGGCGGAGGTATAGAGACACGTTCCTAGCGACGGGGGGCGCTTGCCACCCGAGCGAAGTGTTCAGAAGGTTCCGCGGTAGAGATCCCTCGCCGCACGCGCTTTTGAAAAATCTTGGACTGCCCAAAAATATTGTAGAGGAATAGATCATGTGTTAGTTGTGTATTATAGTAAATTGCTGTTGATATAAATTGTCTGTCATTTATTAGGAATGCCAGATTCCCAAAACGAAGGTTTGTAGTCCCAAGTTATCCTTTTCGCTCAAAGTCTGCTTTGTAGCGAGAATTGCTTTATAGAGAAATAAATAGCGAGAAAAGTAACACATTTATTTAAATAACACTGAATTACATAAAATTAATTTAAACTAGAAGAATTAACTAATAATGCATTCTTAACAAACTTTATGTCAATCAGAATCTGGATTTTGTTCCCAAGCTTTCTCCATATTATAGATATCTTTTTTAATATTTTCATCTTCGGGCATTAGCTTCGCCGCGGCTTTCATTTCACCGATGGCTTTGTTCAAGTAGCCAAGCCTCACGAGTGCCGCTGCTCTTCGAGCTATGCACTTAGCACGACTTTTACGATTACCCTCACATGGCGGATTCAATAAATCGAGTGCAGTGGAAGTGTCGTTTACCTAAACAAAACTGTATTAATAAGTTTCTAAAGGGTCCAAAATGTCATAAATGTAAAACAGGAGTAAAATAGCTACAAAATATTTTCCAAAACACCCATTGATTTGTAGTAATCTCGTAAAAATAGTGTATTAAGCATATTATACACCCATCAAAACTGTGTCGTTTTAAGTCACGGCTTTGGTTACTAATAATGAATATTTTACTTACACATTTATTGAAATTTCCGAGAGCAAAATGTGCTGCTGCTCGATTTGAATACAGAGTCGGCAGTTTGTTGGATAGAGTGATTCCATGCGAGTAAGCACTGATCGCGCCCAGAAAGTTGCCGTTGCGAAAGAACTCGTCCCCTTTCTCTTTACACCACTGGGGGTCATGTTCTTCAGGCCTAAGATCTTCAGATACGAATCCTAGAAATTTTAAAGGCTTGAATTAATCCTTCTAGGTATGAAATAGACAGTGGCCTATAGTCAGAAATCTACGCGTGATAGCTCTGAAAATAAGTGCATAAGTGTAAAAATCTTAACAAAATGTATGTAAGAAGAAATTAGTGTAAATATAATTTAAAATTTGCAACAACCTATTGCTCTTCTTGCTTGTGTGATATTTTTTAACCAAGCTTCCTCTTCTTGCGCCGCTGACTCTCGACTTGGCGTTGGGAATGTTCTTGGCGTGTGCGTAATCACAACTTCTCCTGTTTCTCTTAGCTTTGGTAAAACTCTATTAGCAGTTTCTTTCTTCATCTTCTCTACGTATTCAGATCTAACTGGTTTACTTATATTACTAGCTAACGTGTTGTTTACTGCTGGTTTCTTTTGTGTTGTTTGCTTTTTAGTTTTGTTTTCATTTTTCTCATCATCTGAAGAGGGTAGTTCGACAATTTTGACACTGTTTTCATTTTTTTTAATGTTGTAAGACCAGTTACTATTTATATGTTTGGAAGCATTTATATTTGGGTTTAGAGGTTTAAGGGAATCGTTCCATTGTTGTAACTCGTTCATAGCTTTGTTCCGTTCTGCGTCTCTTCTTGAATCCATTAACGCATGCTGTTGTGAATCAATCTCCATTGCCTTTTGTACTGTAAATCTATCCATCTCACTCTTCTTTATGGACTTTTGTTCAGTTTTCTCTTTCGCTTCATCTTGACATTTTTCGAGTATTTTTTGACGCAGTTCTTTTTTCTCTTCTTTAGTTAAGCATTTTTCAAGACACTCCCAATCATTTTCCTTCTTCTTAATTAACTCTAGCACTATTGATTCTTCTTTTACTATACACTTACTTCGTTCGTTGTCGACATCATGTAGTAGAAATATCTCAAAGAGGAATGGATTAAAATGTATTTTAATATACGATTCAGTTGTGAAAACATCGATGTTGTTTTTATTCATCGACTTCGAAGGTATTTTGATCTGCAAATTAGTAGGAGATTGTGTCCAAGTAAAATCTTTTACTAGAATAGGCATTTTTGAGTACAAACTATTAATAAATATCAGGTTTTGTGTTTTTTCACTTAAACATACGTCAATAAATGTTACCAAGGAAACTGTACATATGTTATCGATCAATCATTTTCTTTAAAGCTGTCTATAAACCGACGAGAATTTCTAAACCGGACTTAAGTCACCCTAAATTATGACAGCTCACTAGCGCCACCCTATCAAATTAAAAAAGGGTCACATGATCCTTGTTTTACAGTAAATAGAGCTGTTTTTATGTCATTTTCAATGTCTAAGTAGGTTTTATATATATTCTGTCAGAACCAACCGCGATGGCAGCGCCTCTCACCAGTTCACATATCCTTGTGTGACTTTAGTTTAATATTAACTCACTGGCTGTATGAAAGCCAAGAGAGAAAAGAAAAAAAAGTCACTGGCAGTCAAGAGTAGTTCAAGATTCCAAGGACGATGTTTTGCTACTTTGCTCTAAACATTTTGATGCAAATATGTTTAGTTAATTATCTCCTTTGATTATATACTTGTCAAGTACACAATTAAAAATCGTTTAAGTAAACTAGGATCAAAATGTTTTTTCGAAAACCCACGTTTTGCATAATTAGCAGTTGGCTTTGTTAAGTGGAGAAAGGGCCTTAGAATGTAGAGAATTATTAAACGAGCATAAGATTTTAATGAATAAATTTATTTTATATATTCTGTGAATCATAGACTAAAAATGTATAATGCAAAACAATCTTATTAATAACACCTTAATTATGACACAATATACAAGTGATAAGAAATTTGATAACAACTTTAAATTTACATATCTGCCATATTTAAAGACTACGACATTTTAATATTTTAGCCGTGAATTATTAAGCGTTTAAGTTACAAATTGTTGTGTTTATAAAATGGTTGGGAGAGTTCAAACAGGTAAGAAACTTAGCAATTCTACTTCATCATTTCATAAAAACAGATTTAGGGGCTTAGAAAATCATTTGTTCTAGTTTATTTATATCTCAGTAGATATTAATTTACAAGCACTTGTTCTTATTTCGATTCGAATAGAAAATTACAGCACTTCAACACACTAACCTATATTAGTTGAAAAATAAATTAAGCATCAAAATAAGCAAAGTATCTGACGTTAACAACATTTATTTTTAATAATTTGAAGTGAGATAAAATTAGATTATTCTTCCAACCTAAAACTTGAAATCAACCAAAAACAACATTGTCCATAACAGATTAAAAATAAACTGTGTTGCCATTTACTAAAGTTTTTACTTATTAAAGTTGAATCAAGCATAAAAATTAAGAATTTCATTATCTATACCCGAGAAAATTAAATTAATTTATTAATTAAAAAAATTAAGCTGCTATTTTTTTTACAGTAAATGGAGACGTGGACCCAAGCGTTCTCGGCATAACTCTAACTCATGAACATTTGTATATGAAGTTTACACATTTTTATAAACAACCACCGAAACAGATTGCCAATAAATTCGAAAAAGGCTTTTCTTTGGATACGGTGGGTTATTTAAGACAGTATCCGTATAGTTCACAATCAAATTTACTTCTCAATGACCTTGACTCTCAGGAAGCTGTTTTGAATGATGTGAAAGCTTATAAAGAATTTGAAGGCGGTGAGTATTTGAATTCAATTATTTTTTACGCTTTCGCGTTACCGTTATTTACTAAAAACGGGACCTTAAAGCTTTCTTATTTTCTTCAAGGCACTATTGTGGAAAATTCGACAGAAGGTTTAGAAAGGAACATCGATTTCCTAAAGAATGTATCATCGAAAACCGGCGTACACGTCGTAGCAGGAACGGGACATTATATCGCAGATCTACAGGATGACGTATCAATCAAAAACACAAAAGAAGATATTTACAATCACATGTTAAATGAGCTGACTGAAGGATGCGTAGACTATCCCACAGTTAAAGCTGGATTTATGGGAGAGATTGCTAGTGTATGGCCGTTGAAAGGTAAACATAATTATATTAAATACCAGGTTTTGTTCCAACTTGTCTATGTCAAAATCGTGTTAAAGATTTTTATTCCCAACTCGATCCTATGAGGAATACCATGATTCTACATGATTTGATTTTTATTTAACTTCATAACTATTTTTCTTTAAGTTTTTGTTCTGAGTTGAATAGAATTATATAATTTTCATTATATCCTCACGGTTTCTACCCGAAACCTCATGTGATTAATTTGTTCAGATTTCGAGCGCAGGGCGATATCAGCAGCGGGCGAGGTGCAGGCTCACCTGGGCTGTGGGGTCAGCTTTCACCCGCACCGCGATCCTCAGGCACCCTTTGAGATCCTCCGCTTGTACACGGAGGCCGGTGGACGAGTCGACAAGGCGGTCATGTCGCATTTAGATCGTGAGTTTGCAAGTGAACCCTGATTGTTTTTATGCATCTTCTTCATTTTTACAACTTATTAATTATTGAAAATATATAATTATATTGATGTGTTGGTAGCTCTAAGGCCAATAAACTCAGAAAAGGCTGTTATCTGATTAAACAGCTAGCTATCTGATTAATCTTGTATTTACCAGGTACATTACTACAGACGGAGAAGCTGTTAGAATTCGCAGAGTTAGGATCGTATTGCCAGTTCGATTTGTTCGGCACTGAAGTATCTTATTACCAACTGAATGAGACTGTTGCGATGCCTTCTGATGCCCAGCGTATTGACAAAATAGAGGAACTCATAAAGGAGGGAAAGGAAGACAGAATACTAATGTCGCACGATATTCATACCAAACATAGACTGGTATTATGTTGTTAATTATTTGCACTTTTAAAATAATCAATACTAATTAATTATACGTCTCTCATAGCGATTCAACTTGTCCAGCATAAGCAATTTTTATTTCCAGATTAACTACGGAGGTCACGGTTATTCCCATATCATAAACAACGTGCTGCCCAGGATGAAGAATAGAGGCATCTCTCAAACGATCATAGACAAGATTACTATTGGCAACCCTGCTAATTGGTTAACTGTCAAATTTTAATTATTAGACAGTGCATGCAACATGTAGAAAAAAAAATTAAACTTCGAATCATTTTACAATTGTTTTATTCAATAACGTTTAAGTGTTAATTGTTATATTTAATTTGTTGTGCTTTAAAATATGTATTAATTTTTAATTAAAAGTTACTAATAAATGAAGATATTACTTTATTTATAAACTAGCGATATCCTACGGCTTTGTCATCGCAAAATGAAAAAAAAAGCAAAAAATAAGCCTATAATATGCTCTCAAACAGCTTTATAGGTATTTAATTCCAAATTATTATTATTATTATTATTATTTTTAAATAACCATTGCTATTGTTTTAAACAATATAATTATAATACTATACCGTGTACTTATTTAACTAAAATAAACTCAACATTTTCACCAGTCTTGTCTATGACAGCAGCAACATTGTCCGACAAAGATACATTGACGATTTGACAAGTGCACAACGTGTTGCATTTCTTGCAATTATCGTACGTATTTTTATTCGGCTTCACTTCTTTAACCGGTGGGATACAGCAAAAGTCTGTGTCCAGACCCATCTTCTCCCCATCCTCCAATGTCTGGGGTAAGTGTTGGTTGAGAGTCTCCGGCAGTAACAGACTGGCGATACCACCGGCTACGAGAAGTGCCCCCATAATGATCAAAGGTAGTACCAATATATCGGAGCCCTGGAACAGTAATGTTAACAAAGTAAAGCATATAATAGTGTCTAATATTTAAAATTGTAACGCTTCTTTATAACTAACATAATTGTATGAATGCCAGTCATAAAGAAATTCAAAAATAGAATATAAATCTTTCTCTCTTTCGTAGTTTGAGAGAAGTCGTTTGCGGTGAGACTGTGGAATGATTTGTGAACAGGTATGTCCCTAAATAAAAGTGCAACTAACCAAATAATTGACGAGCGGTATAAATATCGGTCCGAGCATGCCTAGTACGGAGCTGAGACTCATGCCGAGGCCGCGCACTACTGTCGGGTACAGCTCGGAAGCCATTAGTGGCAGCACCACGAACGATGATGAAATGCCCATCTTCCCAACGCAGTATAGAGCCAATGTTACGTACGTCTCTGTGAAACCAAAATTGTCTTATTGTTCAGAAAGTAATTCAGGATACCAAATCAATTTGACCGCTTTCTAAGACCCAAGAATTCGATTCGATTGAAACAGGTGATCTTTGATTGAGTACATTCTCGTTCTCCTTCCTCAAAATCAACGAGAAAAACAGAAAAACATGAACATTGATAATTTGATTGGAGGTTAAATGAACTAGGTTAATAGGTTACTATTCTGTCTAATTGCGATGGCGCATAATTACGACATATTAAATGCAACTAAGTGTAAACAACATTGCAGGTCTTTAAACTCATAGAGGGAAATTATACTTACCATGTTGCACCAGAAATGTGGTCAAACATGCCACGCCGCCTACGACCATGCTCATACACAACGTCCATCTTCTGCCAAGTCTCTCCATAGAAGGCCAGAGGAAGAGATATGTAGGCAGCTCTACAATTCCCGCCAAAAAAAAGTTCAAGAACTCATCTCCACCTAACACTGGGGCGTAGTACGATAGACCAACATATACACTTGTGTTGGTGAACCATATGAAAGTTATGATGATGGTCTTCTTCCTCAGATTGGGAGTACGGAACAGGTCCAAGATGCCGTATTTCCGTGTCTTTTCCTTCTCCAGATCTTGTTTTAGTTTATCAGACTCGTATTTACGACGTAGGTGTACCATGTAGTTGGCTGGTAATGATTTGCCGTTCATTCTACAAAAAATATATTTACATAATATCCAATATTATTTTCCTGGAAGCCGTATTGTACGAATTTACCAGCTTCTCTGAATTCAAAACTTTTGTGAAAGATTTGAAGTAGGAGTAGTAACACAAGCCTATCCAATTATTCTAACAAAAATATTTGAAGTGCGCAAGAATACAAACCTGGCCATCTTTTTCAAAATAATCTCCGCCTTTTCAAACTGTCCTCGCGCTAGCAGCCATCTTGGGCTTTCCGGCATTGGCCATATGTAGAAGAAGAAGCAGACGAAAGGCAGAGTAGTGGTGAGTGCCAGATGTCTCCAATCTCTCACTAAGTATACCACACCAGCTAGGAGGATCAGCCCCATAGAGTACGCGATGTTAGATAGGATGGTGCACAGGGTACGACACTTTGGACCTACTAACTCGATAGCTGAAATAATTTCAATAAGCTTTCACACCATTATTCAATTAGATATGCAGAAATTAAAATACATTTGTGGACGGAAATGGTTCTACTGTGGGTCATTCATTCTCTTCTTTTTTCATATTAAGGTCAAGGCATACTATCTCTCTCTCTTTAAAAGTGAAGGATTAAATAAAATTGATCAAAAACTCTTTCAATAAAGTTTAAATTCAACTGAATTATCGAATAAATTTCAAAAACTTTCTTACCCAAAACATAAGGTGTTGCCATAATAGCAGGGACAGTAAACCCAACACCGATCCTATAAATAATCCATACAGGGAAGTTCTGTGCAAACGCAGTGGCAACTCCAAAAATGCTCTCAATGAGAAGGTAGATGAAGAAGGAAGGCTTCCTTCCGATGGTGTCTTGCAAGTAGCCGAAGATGTAGTTTCCGATGATACCACCGACCGCCAGGAGCACCAGCCCGAGAGTCGGATAGAAATCTTTGTTGCAAACTAAATTGAACTGGGCATAATAAAATTAATTCAACAAATTTTTGGAACTATTCTTTTGGCTATAGTCATTTTATGCTTTATAAAAGTCATTGTGCTTTAAATGTAATTTCTAATAATTGTGTGTTAAATAGAACAATATTATAATTTAAATTTTACACATTTAAAAGGATCCCGTATGTTCCCCAAGCATAGAAGTCGGAATATTTTGGTACAAAAATTTACCTTCTACACTTTTAGCCCCACATAATATTGCACTGCTGATTTGACAAACTGTATAACTATAAAATATAATTGCAAATCACCTCAGTAGCAACAGTATTAGTATAGACGCTCTTATCAAACGTCCATCCATGTGTACAGGGTACAACTGCGGAGGAGTTGGAGACGTCATCGATGTCGGGATAGTTAGCAGCAATGTAACTGTAGTTAAGGTCGTACATGCTGCATGAGGAGTACTGCGGGATACCGTTCTTCAGTTCTACAGGTATGCTGGAAGAGTATATCTATTTATGAAGTGAACAAGCAGCTTACTTTGTCATCGTACGTCTTAAAAACTTCTAAACTACAAGAAGTGATGTTTTTAGACGTGTTGAGTGACAAAAATCTGTTATGATGCCTGTGAATTCTTGTGACATTTTTATTTTCCGTTTGTCTTTGATTCGTTGATCTTTTCAGTAGTAGAAGATATAGAAATTTAATAGAGTTAGAGAGAGATTGTTTCTTTTATTTAAATAATTTGTTACGACGAATGTTTTCAATATCGTAGACTACCCCTAATGAGGTTACCAGCGATTTATTTAACAGTTGCTAGAGCTTAACAATTAATAAGAAAAATCTTGTATCATCACCTAATATTCTTGACCATCTCGATATCATCCAAATGCTCGAGTTCGGGCACCTTGCACCAGTGTACCACATCCGCGGCCATGAAGAGCTGGGCGTACGCATGGAAGCCGCATGGGATAACAGCCGGCAGTAGCACACAGTAGATCACCAGCTTCTGGTACTTCCCAAACGTACCCACGTCCTCTAATATGGCGTCGAAATCCATGATCTGGAACTCAAGCTTATGAACGTACCAGCTGTATCGCTAGATATTACTTGATAGATAGAATTACAGACTAAATTAATCCAGACCAGTTGAAAAGGTGCAAGTAACTTAGTGTTAGTCTTAATATTATGTTTTAAATAGAATGTCAGTAAGAACTAATGGTATATTTTGATATATTGTACTTACATGTCAGTCTGTCACAAATGGTCAGCGAGCGGATGCGCAGGCGCAGGTCCGGCGGCGGCGGGCCACTGCTAGATTATGTTCATTACGGAGCACCCTGTACGCCGGACCTTAAGTACTACCGGTGTGATACACAGGGTGATGCGAAAAATGTTAAGCAATGCACATAATTTTGCCTTTTGAATTTAGAAACAGAGAGAAAGATAAAGCGACTCTATGTGCCATTTTAGAGTTTATAAAACTATGGTATAATTAAGGATTGTAACTCATTCAAGGTTTTATGACAGTTCTAGACATGTCTAGACATTTAGCTACATGTTTAGTAGTAATTTCAGTAAATTATAGTATCCTAAATTCATTTATTTTATAATAACGTTGTCATGTGTTTCATTAAAAACACCAATAGAAATAAAATTATCTGAAAAAAATTACCCAGTAAATATTAAGCATCACCCCAACATAGATTATGGGATGCGCGTGCGCAATTATTTCATTCATCGTGGCCAGTCATTCAATTCGATTAGTCGGATGATTGAGGCGGCGAAATGCTCGCTCCTGACTCCCCAGCTGGTGCTGCAAGGTCGTGGGGACCACTCATGTCCCCAAATACTGACCAAGAACATCCTGGTAGTTACGTTATTATATTATAATTAATATGGGTACGTCATATCTGTTATTATTTAGTATTAGCTGTCGCCCGCGATTCCGTCTGCGCGGAATTAAAAATACTTAATTAGTAGCCTATGTTCTCCCAGACTACGTGACGAATTTCAGCGAGATCCATAAAGTTCTGGAACTATCTTCAAATAAATATCCATCCATTCGTCTAATTCGCATTTATAATATAAGTAATATAACATTCCTTTATAGGTTTTGGACTAAATCTTTTACCATTAATTTGTAATTAATTGTCTTTTAAAAGCAAAATTGGTAAGGAGGTAGCTTAGAGTCAGGAGACGGACATAGGATTCTATTTATTCATTTTTTTCGAATTTATGCCTTTTATTTAACTCACTAATATTATAAATGCGAATGTTTAGATGGATGTGATGTGGATGGATGTTTAAAGATATATCTAGAACGGCTGAACGGATCTCGATTAAATTTGGCATACGTATAGAACATAGTATGAAAAAACACATAAGCTCATGAATCATTGCAAATATTCGTAAAGTACTTTATCAGTATTACATTAGTGATTATAGTATTTAATTTGATAAGATTTAATATAAAAAGTGCGTCACTTAGTTCCATCTGTTTTTATTCGTATATTAATAATTTTACATGCACATAATACTAATGTGGGTTTGGTTTAACGATCACTTTAAATACACATACTGTTTTTTTATTTTTTAGTGTACACAAGAAAAAACAAATATCAGTATAGCAAATATATTTATTTTGTTTAAAGTACAATAAAAAAAGAATATCAACATTTAAAATAATTATGTGTGAAACAGCAACATAAATAAATGAACGTGAAGTTTATTTTATTATCAAACAATTAATGAAGACCTTAGACATAAACTGATATAAAAACTCACGTATAAGTCCGGTGGCGGCACCGACTAGCCCCCGATAGGCCCGAAACTAGTCGGTGCCGCCACCGGACGAATATACGTGAGTGTTTAGCCGTTTTTATATCAGTTTATTATAATGTCTCACTAAAGTTTGAATAGATTTAGATATGTCTACAAATTATTTCTTTCTACAAAACAAAGTGATCCTATAAGGGTTCCATTTTTTTCCCATGAGGTAAGGAACCCTAAAAACAAATAATTTGTAAGCATTTCGAGTGTATATTTTTTATCAATATGGACTATCTTAATTTGATCACTTTTAATTATTAAAATAAAATTATTTGAAATTAAGTCTTATATGAATACAACAAACATACTTATATTCTAGACTTTATGGCACATTTTCCTGTACCATTCTGGATCGTTGTTAGCGACACTATCAGGCCGTCCGTCTGTATGTCTGTAGTGGAACTCAGAGACCCCCCGACCCGCGACACCGTTCACAGTGAACCTACAGAAGCGCTCCACCATACGCGCCTCCCACTCACTAGACACGTAGTGGACTGATTCGTACTCCACAATCACCTGTGGGTTTTTTTTATTTATAAATTGTCAAACGACCAATCACAACAATTCGCCGAAATAGCGAAGCGATCTGTACCTAAAGAAAGCAATTGAAGATGCGTTGTCTAACTTTAATCGATAGAAGGCGAGAGGCACAGAAAAGTATGTTATCCTATGCGTCCCATCCACCTTTCTTGGAAACAGTGAGAAGGGAAAGAAGACTAATATTAGTTCTCTTGGACAGGTATACCGAGTGATTGTCTTCAGCTCATATTATGTGCCCTCGAAGTCTTCTTTGTCTACTACCCACTTTGAGGGTAAATATTTTTTTAGCGCCCCCCATATTAGACTTTAAGCAATCTTTTAATTCGCATTAGTGGATGTTCACAAATTGTTGTTGAGAGTCGAGAGCTCATGCTGTCGTTGTCTAAGAGGCCTTCTAGCTAAATAAAATTACAAATCACCCCCCGGGCCTTTACACAGCGCCCCCATTTTCTTTCTGGGTCTCTTACCGCCCAGCTTGAGACCTGCAGCGCCCACAAGGGGGCGTTATCGCCCACTTTGGGAAAGACTGACCTAGAGTCTACCATAAGTGGGTGACAAGGCATAGACAAACCCATAGAGTCGTATGTATATTCTTCGAATGCTGGCCCATTACGGGTTGGTTAACCTAACACATCTATAAATTCCTTTGAATTAACAAGCTAAGTAAATACGTTTAATATTACCTGTGCAGTATAGACTTTGTGTCCAGCTTGGAACCTGAAAGCGTAATCTCTAGGTGCGGTGCCTCCCTCCCCGTGCTGGTACAGCTGCAGGTCTACCCACTGCACCGGGTGCAGTTCTCCATTAGGTAATGCCACTACTCCTGCCTCCATACTGGAGACAAGACAAACCAAAGTAACGCAACCAGTCGATTCGAATCAATTACATACGGAAAAGTACTAATGGCGTTAAAGGTCTTAAGGTTTATCAAAAAAAAAAGAGGAGAGCAAATTAAAGAAACAAGTAAGCAATTGAAAAAGCAATACATTTTTATAGTTCTATTTTTTTTGTAGAAGAGCAGTTTGGAACATTTTGGTAAAAGTCTTCTACAAATAGAACATCCTTTATCTATCTATATATATAAAAAAAAGTTGTGTTAGTTACACTATTTATAACTCAAGAACGGCTTTACCTATATGACTGAAAATTGGTGAGGAGGAAGCTTAGGGCCAGGAGACGGACATAGGACTTTATTTATTCTTTTTTTTCGAATTTATGCCTTGAATAGCTGCTTTTTATTTAACTTACTAATATTATAAATGCGAATGTTTAGATGGATGTGATGTGGATGGATGGATGGGTGTTTGAAGATATATCTAGAACGGCTGAACGGATCTCGATTAAATTTGGCATACGTATAGAACATATGTAGTTTGAAAGAACACATATGCTACACTAATTAAGTTTTTTTATATATACACGCGGACGAAGTAGCAGGCAACAGCTAGTTAGTAATATATGCTTTTATAGTAGAAATGTTGCTTAATCTAAAAGACATAATGTAATAAACAGACGTGGATGCAGTGAGCGGCTGGCAGATGACGCCGACGCTGATGCTGGTGCCGTCCGTCAGGAACATGTGGTGGAACGCGTACCGGTGCATCAGGCTCCAGTCGCGCTTGTGACCTATATAAGAAAGTTTGGATGGATGTTTGTTGCCAACACCAGAAAGGAAAAAGAAATCTGGATGAAAGCAACAGATACCGCAAACGCTATTGACGTAGTTTTATTCTATGCAGACGGAGACGCCGGTAGCAACTAGTTTTGTTAACCTTAGTGTTTCAAACATGTAGAAAATGACATCAGAATGTTGGTGATGATTAATGATTGCAGTAAGTAAATGCTCACCAAAACTGTGGTCCCTGAAGGAAGGCAACGTGTACTCGAAGGATTCCTGCTCGATTTTGAACTTGCATTTAAGTACTCCGAACTGCTCGTAGTGAGACTGATGCGCTCTACAATATTGCAACATTTATCATGGCTGCATCAAATTCAAGGGGAAGCGTAAGTATTAAAAAAACTCCCAAGAACAGTACCTTCGTTAGGAATAGACTCAAGATTCTGGACACAGATCTACGTATTATATAGTCTGACGTAAGCCCAGACGTGGTAAAAAAGGGTCCACCCTAGGAATCTCTCCCAGGTCATTGATAGTGCCGGCACTGCCCAAGGATGGCAGTTATTGAGTAATATTGTTAATATGTTAATCATTAGTTTACAGTTTAAACTTTGGACGAAATACAACTCAATTTGAATAGGACCATAAAATCAGGAACTTCAATTGAGACGCGAAATTAATGCTAGGTGCGTCTTTCCTTTCTCTGTGTGAGATGATGGAAAAAATAAATTATTGTAGATATATTAACGTACGTCTTAAGTCCTTCAAAATACTGTCGACTCCACTTCTCTCTCGCGATGGACCTGATGATGGCGGGCGGGTACAGGTCTGTGTCGAAATCGAAGTATTTACTGGTGGCTGACCACTCACCGGTGAATTCCACGTCCACTAATTTAGTGGGCTCGTTCTGGTACCTTGATTATGGTGAATCGAGAAACAATATTTAAAATGTGACTAAGCTTTGCAGGGGACATAGTTGCGGAAATCGACTGGTTCTAACCGGTAAGAGTCGATCTTTGAAAAGACCTTCTGGACGACTGTCTGTCTAACATCCAGGAAAATATTAAAGTTACATATCTCTAAAAGAGCTTAATTGTCAAATATCACCAACTCACCACATCTTCCCCTTGTACGACAGGGCCCATTTCTTCATCGGCTCCAGGGGCTCCATCTTAATACCCTCAGCTGAGAACTCACCAATCGGTGCACCGAACAGCACCGTGTCCGGTATCTTCTTGCTGCATAGAAGACCTTTGCCCGGTAACTAGAGGATACAAAAATTTTGATATAGGTAATATCATGTAGTGGTAAGAATAAGGGCCTCCCAAAACGGACAACCTCAACATTTGCCATACACGAACCGCAGTTTGCTGTCGCTAAAAAATACTATCAACATCTGACTTGAAAGTGTTCGTGTAAGGAAGACCTGAAAAGCCAAGAATCGTCGTGTTTTTACGGTCTTTTTAGTCAATTGCTTTTATGCCTTCTGACTAAGGTGGGTTAATGGTAGTCCATGGTAAGTAATAGAGGTGGTAATGCGTTTTACGAGATTTTGTAAACGAAAGGTGTCATTTAATTTCTAGGGCTACCAGCAATAAGGTTTTTGGTCTCCCTTTCCACAAATAGTTACTTACCCCGATATAAAAGAGTCCATTACACATGCCCATAGAGCGACGCTCGCATCCAGAGATCACGTAAATACCCTTGTCGTTCTCGTCCCGTGTCGCCGATATAAAGAAAATCGCGTCGAATGCCTGTACGGAAACTTAGACTATTCATCATAACCAATCTTCCCTTATCCCTAACGAGGGTCGGGACAGTATGTACTCCTCCATACATCTCTATCAGCTGTCACATTTGAATTCACCCCCTTCCTACGCATATCATCTATTCATAATTTCTTTGGTCTTCCTCTATCTTGTAGCCATCTACATTCAATCTCATTTCTTTATTTTTTTATATCAGACTATTAGAATTTTTTTACTTGACTTTAAATACATCGATTAGTAGTTGCATTGAGTTTTGAACTCATTTTATTTTTTAAAGCAAAATTTTCAGCAAGTATAGCAATATTTCGTTACATCAAAAAATTAAAATGTTCTGGTCACTATGGTAGAATTTTAGTTTACATTTCTAGTACTAAATTCATACTAAGGGGCGACTTTAAGTACGGGTAAGGTTTACCTTAGCATGGTCACTGAGCATCTGCGCGCAGTCCATGGCGGCGGGATCCGCGAGTGCTTTCACCCCCTGCCCCGCGCGTCCCTCTGTTCCCGCTGCATGGCTTTTCCCGTACTAAACAATATTAAGACGTATGACGCCACAAATAACTATATAAATTTATCTTACTAATATTATAAATGCGAATGTTTAGATCATTGGGTAGATGTTTGTTTAAAGGTATCTCTGGAACGGCTATGTGAATCTCGAATCTGGAAGAATACAGCCTTAAATTTTTCCTAAATTCCGTGCGGACGAAGTCGGGCAAGACGGCTAATTATTTGAAACACTTTAGGTCAAAACTAAGTACTTACGACATTTTTTAAATTACAATTTCTCTTAAACTATAAAAAATTTACGAATTAGACTTTTCGTATTTCTCTCCAAGCTATAGATTTATAGATTATTGAATTAAAATTTTTCCTTAAAAAATATTTAAATTATGTGACGATCAAATTGAAAATGATAAATTTATTGTTCGAAATTCTTGGTCTGCAATACTAAAAATATGTTTTTTTTTCATTCACAAAATCCTTTGAATACGGTTCTTGCAACACTTAGCAGGTGCGTGATAAAACACTAATCAATAATTTATTTATCAATTAGATTAATTATTCGATGTGTCTGTTACTTTTATTTAATCGTAATTACATTTTAATGTATAAAACAATTTAATAGACACATATGTTGAATTTATATTTTAGTTTAGAAACCATCGTTTTGCCGCGAAAAATTTCGATGTTTCAATTTAACATTTTTCCAAATTCTACTTTTTAAAACTGTCTAATAAAAAGTAAAAAAACGTCTTTACTTATTATATCTTGAAAGAAAGAAAAAATCATAAATTTCCAGCCTGTTTTTATAAATGTTAGTACTATTAATAGTTTGAAAGGAAAGTACACTATTGCACTAGTAACGCCTATCAATAATTCTTTTAATTGATAATAAAAGTATAAAACCTTGGCCATGAACAAAGTCTGATAAGACTGAATAATTACTGTCAAGTTTGTCCTAATATTTTTTGAAGATATTAACCTAAGAGAAGTTACATTTGTTTACGTCGTATCACAATAAAAGGCAATGTTAAGAAGATTTTAAAAAGTGAAAAGGTTATGATTTTAGCGGTTATTTGATGTAGGTTTGGAAACAAAGTACAAATTTCTTTTTATATAATATCATATTTTTTTATAAGAAGCGTGAAATTATTACTGTTTGATTCTAACCCAAAATTGCGAGAAACCGGTTATTTTAAAACAAAATGTAATTAATACTTAATACGTATGGCCTGTTTTAATTAGTGTTTTTATTTTGACTTTTTATTTTTTAATTATAAAAACAATTGATTACCTTACCTTACGAAAATAATAAATGCACGCGAAAACAATATACTTTAAATAATACCATTTGCCGGGCACAGAGTATACACCGAATATCGGTTCTGAATCTTTCTTTTTAACAGCGTATATTATTAAAAGTAAAAACGACACGATAAATATAAAAAAATACATAATGCCTAAAGTACTCGCAGCAAACTAATGAACTAAACTGTAACGTAACAAAAGATAAAGTCTGGTTATACATATCATATTATTTTTGTGTCTAGTGATGTGCCGATGTTCGTTTAACAACATCATTACTAATACTGCTATTTTTATCGTTATTTCGTTGTTTGATAAACGACAATAACAACCTAGTTGTTCAAGCAGTTTATTATTTAACAATATATCATATATGATTCCATCTACTTTTATTTATCCTTAAGGTTATTTAAAACATGCCAAAGTCACCCTCAGTCGACAGATGAAGATAATAAACTAGGGCCTCGCGTATTAATTATCTTAGAATTGAATATTTAGAAAATATAGACAGACAAGGATATCTGAAACGGAGGGCATAAGTCAAACTACATGACAGGTCACTAGCACCCAACTGTCAATGTCAAAAATTGTCACAAAGTTCTCTTCATGTCATGACATTCCAATTCTTTTACGCCATTTTTTATTCCTATGTAGGTTTACAGATTTTTTGACATAATTTCACGCGATTATAGTACTTCTAAACAGTTGATATCCTTGTTTTATTATTAATGCAACTAAAGTTAAATACTTTTAATAATTTACGGTTTGACAGATAATAACAACGTTACGTTATATAAAACCGGTTACAACGCAAACTTGTTATTATCTTCTATATTGTTTATGTATAAGTTGACATGACCGATAAGATTATTTAATATTGTATAAATATAGAGCCAGTGTGAAAGTGGATTGTTTTGTTTGATAATATTAATTACCCATTCGCTATAGCAACTGTATATCATGAAAATAGATATTTCGAAGTACCTATATTTGTTATCAATTGTAAAAGTAACAATGTAAGAAACCAATAATATTTAAAATTATGTTTATATTTATAAGTGAAGGCATCAACTCTTATCAAAAATTGAGCTTAGTTTAGCATCCACTTTTTTATATTTTACACAAGCGACTTTTCTTTGTTCTTACATATTTCGGGAGTATTAATTTTCTCTTTCCTCGCATGCGTTGTATAGCTACGTTAAATAACCTTTTTCATGACACGGCACGTTAGCGCGCAAAAAAAAGAAAACAAATTAAAAAAAAAAACAGAAAATAAAAGCGACATCCCTTGTGTCATTACGGTTTTTAAACGTGATTTTTATATAACTGGCATGTAACAAATTTCCGGAGGCTATCAAAAATAAAACAAAAAACTGATTTGTAGCACAGATAATATATTTGGTTTGCAGTATTTTAGCGCCAACAAAAATGATTGATTAAAACGAATTAATTTGTAATATATTTAATTTCCTTCATACATTTAAGTACATACGTAATTGAGTATTACAATTATGGCAAACGCGTTTCACGTTTCATATCTTAACCTAGTTTATACTAAGACATCTCTTCGTTAAAATTTATAAAACTTAAATATTAAAACATTTTATCTCATTTAACACAAGCATTACCTAGTTTGGGCAACTTAACATTAAGTTTAATTACTAACCGTATATTTCTCACACCAAAATCTCCGTTGAAAACATATTCTTATCTCTATTTCGTCAAAGATTATGACAGGGATGACGATATGTTTATACAGAGATTCTGATCTCGGTAACCAACGATTAGTGATGTGTAATTAATTACAAAAATTGTTTATGGTTTAAACTTTGCGTTTAATAAAAAAAAATCAATCTTTAACTTTATTATAAAAAATAAAGTTTTTATCACATTCTTAATTTAAATGAAAGGAAATTGTAGGCAGTTTCGTAATTATTGGTTTAAGGCTAAGATTCTTTTTGTTCGTAAACATTTTGAGAATCATTAATATACAGAGAAACTAAAAGATTCTCAAATTTTGACACAAAAATACAAGGAAATTAGCTTTCGAACGACAAATGTGAAATTAATGACATAAAAAACCTTATCTTACTATAACGTATGATTTTAATATTAAATAATAGAGTACGCTTTCATAACACGTTTTCTTTTCTTTATTTCCCCTTCATTCTGAGTTGTCAACTTCGAATACCTTTTCTTAAAGATTTTTTTTAAACGAGAGACGTAATTTATCTTACAATTGAGTACACATTTAAAGAAAATGCATAATAAATATACATATATCTATATACTACCTTGTTTATATAGACGGATACAAATAACACGTAGAATACTAAAACTTCACATTCACCGTGGGTTTCTGAGACAAAAATCTCCTTTTGAAACAATTTTTTTATGTGTATTGTCAAAGATTTTTGTCTTAGAAACCCACTATAATATAAACTATTTAACTAAGACGATATTCGTCTGAAATGCAATATTGGCACGTACAAAATAATGTCCAAAAAGTATTTATTAGGAGGTGAGGTGAAGCGGGCATTTTGGGATTTCCTCATAAGTTAAACATAAGGCCTCCCTTACTTTGCATCTAGGCAAGTATTCGTACCACGTATAAAGCTCTCAATATACTTTAGGGAAACCGATTATATTATATATTGTGATAGAGGATATTAAGTCAAAAAAATCGATTGTTAAAAAGCTTTAATACGTCTATTTGAGACAATACGAGTTAATTACATGTTGAAAAGTTTGCAATTAAAGAGAGTCAAGGGTGAAAGATAAAAAATCACTTGGACAATGTCGAGAGCGATAAAGTTAAACAAAGACTTTTCTGTCTTAATCTGACGACGATGACTAACAGCTGATATTTTTTACGTACTATTCTGACCGGCTTGCCTAAAACAATGGCTCCATATATTGTGTGGTGGGAGTACTTGATTGGGTGCAAAGTTCCCTACACATATTTAACTGTCGCATATCCCGAAATCCCCGCTCCACCCCCCTATATACAATATTTTTTAAAACAAGTCGAATGTATATAGTATACTGTCACAATTTTCGTTAAATCTATATATTTATATATGTATATAATATATAAAAGAAAGTCATGTTAGTTACACTATTTATAACTCAAGAACGGCTTTACCGATATGCCTGAAAATTGGTGAGGAGGTAGCTTAGGGCCAGGAGACGGACATAGGATACTATTTATTCATTTTTTTTCGAATCGAAACTTACTAATATTAAAAATGCCAATGTTTGGATGGATGTGATATGGAAGGATGGATGGGTGGGCTACACTAATTAAGTTTTTTTATATATCCACGCGGACGGAGTCGCGAGTGACAACTATTTGTTAAATAAGTAACTAGAACATCTTAATATAAACAAATATAAGGAAGTTTGTAAGTTTGTTATTTGCTTATATAATATCACAAGCCTTTTTAATTACGATTCTTTACCTCCTTTTATGAAGAATCGAAAATAAGAGAGCAATTCATGTATAAATGTGTCACAACGTTAGTTACTACCTCTGACACTACTTGATCGATTTTTATGAAATTTTATATTTATATAATATTATATATATATATAAACACAGTAGCTTTGAGATTCCGTTATCATCTATTTTAACCCACGTGGATAAAGTCGCGGGCGACGGTTACAATAAAAATAAAACCTTTTATATAAGCATCGATTTATACAGCTTTAAAACGCTATTGGAATTTATTAAATGAACAGTGCAAAGACTGTTATATTTGATGTGGCAGCCGGTTTTCATGACAAGTTTCATGGGAGAATAGTTTGGTTTTCCCCATGCCTTCTGCACCGCAGTGATGTTATGTTTTGTGAAATAACGAGACAAGCCGAAGACAGGACAGAGTGGAAACATGCGGACACAGCAATTAAAGCATATCAAGAGCATCACAAGCACGACCTTCAGTATACAGGGTGACCCAAAAGGTTACGTACATAGGAAGGGGGATGATAGGGGTGGTCACAAGGGTCACCAGAAAAATAAAATAAAAATTCCCCTCTATTAAAATTATTAAAAAAAATAAATGGCATTTTTTAAAAACTTAAAAATTTTACACCTTCTGGGGCAATTTTAATTTTCTTCAAAATCTTTGTTAGTCGTATTGTTTTTTTTTATTTCATATTGATAAAGGGTTATTGACGATAACATAATAGCTTTTTTTTTAAATGTAGCAATATTTGTAGGTCTTTGGTTACAAAATTGCCCCAGAAGGTGCAAAATTTTTAATTTTTTAAAAAATGCCCTTTTTTTTTTGATACCCAGAGGGGAATTTTTATTTAATTTTTCTGGCGACCCTTGTGACCACCCCTATCATCCCCCTTCCTATGTACGTAACCTTTTGGGACACCCTGTATATTCAGTATATGTTCATAATGAACGAAGAAGAAGAAGATTTGATATAGATTATTAACGATTCGCAAACCGCAATAATTTCATGAACAGATACATAATATCAACGTATAAGACAAGAGCTGCGAATACATATTCTTCAGGAGAGAAACTTAATCTGTGTTCTCCTCCTATTATAAGTTGGATGTCGATTACAATGTATACAGATATCACTATAACTACAATAGTTACGTACAATAATTGCAATGTATCGTATTTCTGCATAAGAGCACCAATACCTGAAAATATATCGTAATATTATAAACTAGAGCGTCGCTGGCTCAGGGGTTGAGGACTTGCAATCTGCAGGTCCTGAATTCGAATCCCATCATTTACCAATGTGTTTTTCGATTTACGATTTACATATGTATATATCCGACGTTCCTACGGTGAAGGAAAACATCGTGCTACACATATCTAGCAAGAAATTCAAAGATATGTGTGAAGTCAACCCGCACTTGGTCAGCGTGGTTGACTATGACCTAATCACCATTAACTTAGGGTAGGCTCCGAGTCCCTCGGTGGAGACATATAGTGAGCTGATGATGATCATTAATTCAAAAGTTAAGATAGATGATTGTTAGAAGGTATCTTAGGAAAGGCTCTACGGAATTTGATGAAAATTGACATAGATGTAGAACAATCTGACGTGAATATTTCTGTAGTGTGAAGTCAAAGTAAAACAAGTTTGATATAACATACCGAATACGATCATAGGTACCACCAGAGATAGGCCGAATCCCGATAGATATGTGAAGTCTATCTTAGTCTGGAAGGCAAATAATGTTAGAGCCGTCACTATAGCGAATGTCGAACTCGCAGCAAACACGATCTGTAAAAAAATGATTGTAAAGTAACACAATCCTTACTGTAGCATTCGTTGCGTTATATTTGTCTCGTACACGTACCGACACGTGTTGCCGGTCCAAAGGTCTGACATCGACTGTCCCCTCTCGCCTTCATGTACTTATGGCGTGTACGCTCGAGACAAACAACACTACGTTTATGTATATACTACAGTTACTAATATAATTAATACGAAAGCAACTCTGTCTAATTACAATGATAATAATATTGAAATAATTTAGATTCTATCCGATAGTGTTTCACGCGAGAGATGTCGAGGACACATCTAGTTAAAATAAGACAAATATAGAACCTTTTGAAGATTGTTATAAATTTTAAATAGATTTCAAAGTTAAAAAGTAAAAAATAAAATAAAAATAATAAATATTATGGAGACAGAACAATAAAAAGCACAATAACGCTTTTAAAATATTGTTAAATAATTGTATGTCACAATATCGAACCGCCAATAGCCTAATGGTTAAGAGTACGTATTTCCGATGACGTGGTCGAGAGTTCGAATCCAGCTATTCTAGAGTCGCTCAGTAGGACTAATATGCAGGTAATAATTTAATAAAAAAATATATTAGAATAATCTTAGTAATATAAATGTATTGATCACACAATCAAAATAAAAAAATCCCAAGTAAAGAGTTACATCTCTCATCTTAAGAACTCTTACAAGATGTAACTCTTTACGTTGGAATATCGAAGTATTATTATTTTACTGACCTGTTCAAAAGGTATATCTACTATGACAAGGGGTAGGAGTATTGTCAAAGACAATGTAAACAGCAGAAGGAACATGTAATTGTAGGGCACTTTACGTCTCGCGCTCGTGAAGCACAACATGGCCAGGAACGTTGTTATATAACAGCTGACGGATATACCTCTGGACAATAGAACAAATCTTTATATATATAATTCTTCTGTGAGTGTGTATTTCACTGAACTTCTCTCAAAATACTGGACCGATTTTGATGACATTTTTTGTGTGTGTTCAAGGGGATCTGGGAATGGTTTAGATTCACAATTTTCAAATATTAACTTCATATTAATTTATTCAAATTAAAGACGTGTAGGCAGGACAACGTCTGTCGGGTCCGCTAGTATCATATATAAACGTTATTATTGTGCTATTAACATATGCGTCACGGAAGCCTAATTCAGTCCTCTATCCCTTTCCACCCTTTTTCTTATAAGGAAAGGATGGGAAGTGGAAGTGGATTTCCCGGATGAGAGGATGCATGGAAAGGGAAAATATTTTCTTTCTGTGCATCCTCTCCTCCGTCGATTAAAGTTAGGCAACGTATGTGCAATTGCGTATGTCTATGGGCAACGGTCACACGCTATTTTAGCGATTTCAAGTGGCCGCTCGCAGGTTTGCCATCTTATGATATAAAAAAAATACGACTCTATCACTGCACTGGCTATAAATGGATTGGCTTTTAAGGCGTAGTATTTTGTGCTTAATTGATTTACGCCGTTTTGGGGATAGTAACAGTTAGTAACGGTACTGTGGATTCCAACTAATATTATAGGGGACTAGAAAAAGTGCATACGCTACAAAGCGATTCCATAACGAACTTAAAAATTGTACGGAAATGACATTCACGTAACTTATCGAAAGTTATTGTCAGTTCTATACACTTTTAAAGTTCATTATGGAATCGCTTAGTAGCGAATGCACTTTGTCCAACCCCCCAGGCGCATTTTAATCTGCAATTTCTACGAAATCGCCTATCCATTTCCAGAGATCAGTGCCAGACAGAGTTATTGTAAATTACTACGACTTACATACTAATTTACAATAACTCATTAAAATTTAAATCAAAAGTTGCAAATAAGTCAACCTAAATTGATGATTGCCAACTTTAATCGACAGAGGATGGGATACGCTGACAGAGAACATTTCCCCTTCGTATAAGTCCCTTCCGCCGTCAAATCCATTTTGCCTTAACATGTAAGGAAAGAGGGATAAATTTAGTCTCTGGAACGTACACACAGAATGTTATATAGAATAAAACTCTGAATAACTTAGCACTTGATTCGTGTCTTCTATGTGGTAGTGGTACTGCACTGTGCCGCTGTACTGGCGCAACACTAGCTTTACTAAAATGTCGACGTCTATGTCCCCTCACTAATCATTCTGACACTTGACTTTGTAAAAGCGCGCCATTCGCGCCAAAGTATTATTATTAATAATGTCTGAAAATATATACTCACAAAACAAGATAAATATTTCCGAGAGCAAAATTCATGTAGAGTTCCCATTTCATCAAGCCATATGTAACGAAAGCAGTTATTAGTAACTGCACCAAAACTATAAAGAATACCTGCAAGGAAGTAAAAACCGGTTACAATGACGTCGAAGTTATAAGCAACATCCAGTTGCAATAACCGATGTCTGCGCTAAACTTCACACCTGGCCGAGCGCGGGGCGACGTTCAAGCACTCACTCTTTCATTCCATTCATTCTCGCACTCACGCGCATACTTGTCGCACCACCAGTGTACTTTTTTCTAATTAAACGCCAGTCTAAAATATTTCTAAATTTTTTTTTATTTTCTTGTTCTGTACTGAACAACCGATTTATGTTTTTATAATCAATAATGAGAGCATCGGTGGCTCAGTGGGTTAAGCATTTGAATTGCAATCTACAATCCTGGGTTGGAATCCCGCCATGTACGCCGCCATTTATTTCGATGTTCTTACAGTGAAGAAAAACATCTTAATGCAACCTGTACGTATCTGCAAAGAAAACATATTTGTGAAGTCAACGCCAGGCCAGCGTAGTTGGCTAAGGTCTTGATTTAGTGTAGGCTCCAAACCTCTCAGTGGGGACGTATAGTGAGCTGATGATGTTAACAAAGATAAGATAAAAGACATATTATTGTTTACCTTTTTAATGAAAGCATGTCGTATTGATTTTAACGAAAAGATCATATTAGCGACTAAAGTATCTTGGTCGTCCACATCCACTATAATCTCTGGCAATGACATGATCGTGCTCTGTAATAGATTAAAAAAAACATAGAGTAGAGAATAGTTATGACACTATGAGACAAATACGAGCCGGTTCAGATCACCCATTCAGCCTCAATTGTGCAAATAAAATCTAATACATAGCGGCCATAAAGATGTTTTTTAAGGTGAAATATTTATAATATTTCCAGATGGCAAACGAGGTTGGTGGTTGGTGGTTGGCCAAGGGCCGCGGACGAGAGCGAAAGCGTGCCCGTGGTCCCGTCCCGATGCGTTGGAGGAACAGAGGGGTTTAGTGGGTATGCCTCCGCTATGGAGGAGAATCCCACATAACTACCGCGTCCCCCCCGGGGCGCGGAGTATGCATAAAGCATTCCCCTCTGAAAAAAAAAATAGTGGTTGGCCAACCTCGTTTGCCACCTGGATTCATAATTCACTGCAATATAGTTTGGAACACTAATTTAGTTTTTTTTCTGTTCCGAGCAGACGGAGTGACGGGCGACAGCTAGTTTTGACTAATTTACTAAGCTTATGCCGGTTCTACTTTCGATTCGTTTTTTTTTTGTGACTGATTAGTCACTGTTTGCTTTGGAGAGGCATTTACAGTTTCACCGGGATTGAGTTGGCCGAGCGCAGATGGCGCTTAACCTGAACCTCGTAAGAATCGAAATACGTATGCTACTGTGATTCGACATTCTTAAACATAGTAAGGTAGAAGATATTATATATCCTAATTCTATAATCGCGGGTTTTGTAAAAAAATAAAAAATAAATATTATATTGTAAAAATCATATTATATATTTGTAAAAAATTAGTACAGATCAAGAGTCTGCAGAAATAAAAAAAAACACACTAAGACGGTTTGCTTACTTTGTGATAATTACAAAATACGACAAACATAATTTATCTTACTTCTTACTAATAAATGCGAATGTTTAAATGGATGGATGGATGTTTGAAATTTGGCATATATGCAGAACATGGTCTGGAAGAACACATAGGTTAGTAAGTTTTTTAATTCCGAGGGGACGGAATCGCGGGCGACAGCTAGTAATAAATATTATTTATGATCCGCTAAAAAATTTCTAACATATAAATACGTATAGCCAAGGCGTACTTCCCAATATACCATGAATGAGGAAAAAGAACCAAAATAATTTAAAACAACCGGTTCCGAACGATGATTGTTGCGAGCTCTCATTTTGCACAACATTATATTAATGTTAGTATTCAGTTATTAATAATAGTTAAGATAAAACCTTTTTTATATCAAAAGGTGGCAAATGACGGACGACCACCTGAAATCGCTGAAATAGCGAAGTGACCGTTGCACTTTGCCTAGTCGACTATAGTTCGAATCTACACTACCGCTACAAACTGTTACTATCCTCAAAACGGCGTAAATCAATGAAGCACAAAATACTACGTCTTAATAGCCAATCCATTTATAGCCAGTGCAAGCAGTTACAGTCGTATTTTTTTATATCATAAGATGGCAAACGAGCGAGCGGCCTCTTGAATTCGCTAAAATAGCGAAGTGACCATTGCCCATAGACATACGCAATTGCATATGCGTTCCCAACCTTTAATCGAGGGAGGAGAAGATGCACAGAAAGAAAAGATTTTCCCTTTCCATGCATCCTCTCATCCGGAGAGTCCACTTCCATTTCCCATCCTTTCCTTATAAGAAAAAAGAGGACGCACACTCATCAGACTGCACGCGGAATTGCTTCCACTGCACGCCTGTCTTCTGTGTGGTCGTGGCATTTCACCGGGCGAGTCGGGCCGATTCGTGCGAAGATAAAGCGGGCTCTACCACTGTTGGATTCAAACCCAGGACAGATTACAAGTTAAATGCTTATATACGGAACCACCGAGGATCCGCATTAAATTTTTGAATATTAAAATTGTTAGATTTACCACAAGTGTTTCAGAATACAGATGGTTAACGAATAAAGACATATATTTATATTTAACTAGCTATCGCCCTCGAGTCCGTCCTCGCGGATAAAAAAAAAACAAAATTAGTAGTCTATGTGTCCTTCTAGACTATCTTATATATCTATGTCAAATTTCAGCGAGAGCCACGCAGTCGTTCTGGAAATATCTTCTAACAAACATCCATCCATCCAATGTTTAAATTCGCATTTATAATATTAGTCAGATAAATTAAATATAATAATAGTTATTTTGTATTCATCTACAACATATTTGAATTTTTCCTATTACTAATTAAGGATATGGTTTTCTATTTTTCATATTAGATCAGCCACTTTATTCAAATACTAGCGGTCGCCTGCGACTGTCTGCGCAGAACAAAGAAACTTGGGGACAGATATACAGATTTTTTTTAAAATTTGGATTTATTTATCAGTAAAATAAATAAATCGTATACGAAATACATTGTATGGATATATTCTATGTGAGTCTACTACTACAGAAGAAAACAACACTATGTCTATGGAAATCGTTATCTATTCTCCCATAGACAATGAGGATAAAGAGTTTTTTTAACTATTGTTTCTGGTTTAAATATCTAATAATGCAATGCCAGCAGCACCCTTTGTTTCACCCTGGCGACGCCCACGTTACCACAGTAAAGATGGGCATGGATTCGCAGCTAAAGTTTGATTCTTATTATACGAAGACTATGATTTTTAAATAAATAAATAAATGACGTCGCTTACAAGTTACAAAGTAGGTTGAGTTATTGGAAAGTAAACTACCGTATTGTTTTCTGTAGGTTGTTGACCAGCATCAGGTTTTTCGTCCTGTTTGACATTTGGATGCTCATAAGGGCTATAAGATAGCCCAACTATGCCGTAAGGTGGCGGTGGTGCGTTCCTGTTATCCATTGGTATTGTGTACGGAACATTTTTATTTTCCGACGCCATTTTTTTCACCTGGAAATAAATCTTATTACAATTTTTATTTTAGTACAATATTTTAAAGCTTTTAAGAATAAGAAAAAAACACAGAAGAACAATACTTGGACAATAATAATTGGAGGAAGCCTGCACCCGACAGGGGACGTGACATTTTATATTATATTTATTACTTAAAATGTAAATAAATATATACTTTTTTATGTAATTAAAAGGCTTATATATTAATTCTAGCTATATATATATGGAAAAGTATAGGACCGATCATCACGGCGATCTTTGGAGGTCTATGCCTAATAGTGCGTCTTGTCGCTGACCAAGCATGGAAAAGTAATTGAGATGTTTGTCCGTCTCTATACATTTATAAGCCGATCTGATTCAAATCGGAAGAGTTATCTCAGGGCGACGGGATTTCTTTAAAACAATTATTAAGTTTTTTAAAAAATGCTTTCGTTTTAATATTTATCTATGCAGTTCAGCTGTTATTTATTTAAGTAAGGCAACTGTTGAATTAAAACTTAATATTTAGTTTAAACATTTATTTACAACTTTTAAATTATATACAGTTTTTTATACCAATATAGGTAATCAACAGAAATGGCGTAAGAATTGCGAACTGGAATCCAGGAATTAATTTAAAATTACATTTAAACTAAAAAAATAAAACTGAATCAACAACACCAAACATACAGAACTTATAACTACTATGTAGTAACGAAAGCTGGACTAAAAAAGAAATTTTAATATTGTAAATATTATGCATGTTTACTTACGTGCGGTTTTATAATTCAACTAACAAGTGCACTTTTATGATTTTCAAACACAATAGCACAAATTAAAATAATAAAAACAGCACTTTATTGTTAACAACACAGGACTCCAAGCCGGCTAAAGCAAAATAAACTGGCGAAATGGCAGAGAGCCAACGAATAATCGTTGTTCCGATTCCGGAGCAACAAGCTGAGATGAACAGCGTCAGAATGCGACATCCGATATATTCATCTCGCACTATTATACATCAAAATTATGTGGGCGTTTGGAATCTGTCGATACTGAGTTTCCTTAAAGTCGCGCATGTACAATATTTTCAATAATAATTTTATTTTTGATAAGCTTTAACTATCTTTTAACCGGGTTTAATTTTTATAAATTAAAAATTAACCCGATATCTTTCTGCCTGGCAACTATTAAGATAAAAATTTGGGAATTACCTTAACCTTTTGGCAGTTTGCGTTAATCGATCGGCGCAGGCATGACTTGTCTTGGGCGGCATTTCTAAATTTAGATAGCGCTTGCGTCGTAAATGTTCGCGTAACGATTTTATGATATCAATTACAGGTAATGTAAACTTTAAGCTCATCTTTGATTTATTTTGTGAACGGATATACGTAAGTATAAAACAACTAGTACCCGGTAATCACTGCTCAAGTATAGAGGAATAAAAAATTATAGAATGAATATTCCATATTAAACGTTTCTCTACTAGGTTTCTGGTAAAAAAAAACTTTTAATAATTTGTAAAATCTTTTGTTGTCATCGACTAAATAAATCTTTCGGACTAAAAATAATAAGTAATATTTAAATTTCTTTAAAAAAATTATTTAAATCAAGTTTTTAAAATATATTTGAATATTTTAATTGCATTTTGTTTATATGTACTTTGTCTTTTACATTTATGTTTCACAACTGCCGTCTGTATTTTATTGATTTGTCATGTCTGTGTCGTAACTCTTTGTTACATTTCTTCGTTCAGCCGGGCAGCAGATTCCGAATTTAAAAACTTTTTTGTTTTTTTTTTTAATTAAAAAAAAACACATTTTGAAACAATTTTATCACAGGTTTAATTAATTGTAAGTTAAATATATTCTACATAACAATGTTGATGTATTTTATAAATAAAAAAGCACTTATTATAAATACATCTCTCTCTCTATTAAAATAAAGGGAATGAGAGAAAGAGATGCATTGCTATTGACTATTGAAGTGACTGACATTTCGTAGTTCATTCCAACCTAAAATTAATAGTTTGTTAAAGAACAAACGTATTTTATTTTTATAGGACCTTTAATATTGTACTCGTAGAACATGATCTAGATATCTGACCTGACGACCTATGCGTATAACTAAATTATTAAAAAAAAGTGTCACAAGAACCTTTTCCTACTGTATTTGTCACGTATTGTTTTTTTCTGTTATGCCATTTTCTGTGACCATGTAGGTTTTACATATTTTCTGACACAACGTACCGCGACAGCAGCGCCTCCATTATCAGGCCAGATATCCTTGTTTTACTACACAAAAGTTTAATATGCATCACTGTTCATATAAGTTAGACCTAACTATTAGGGTACGCGTCCATTAGTCCGCGACGGACGCATCGCGCACGGCCCGCAGCGGATTTTAGTGTGCTTTGTATGATTTTACATAATTCTGAGTCCAATATCGGCGCTGGTCGCATCTAAAGACGGAATTTATCAACAAGCAATTAAGGGCCGAGAGTGTGGTGTATCCAGCGCGGGCCAATTGAAGCGTACCTTTAGATGACAAACATTTAGTTTTTAGTTAGAACAAACTATAGATTTATTTAGAAGCGCCTATAATTGTCAGAATAAACAAGAATATGTTGACGATGTCTAAGTAAAGGTTAAGAGCTGCGAAGATATATTCTTCAGGGGACAAGCTGTATTTATGTTTGCCTCCCATCATAAGTTGTGTGTCATAGACAAGATAGAGGGAGAACAGCAGTGCCCCCGCCGATGCGTAAACCAACGTCAGTATGTTGTTTCTTGGTAGGAAGATCGCGATCAGTCCTGGAAATAAAAAGTTCAGATCTGTTTAATAGTTACTATCTAAAAAGGTTCATTGCAATAAAAAAGTTTGATATGTTACAGTCTAGTCCAACTATTTGTTGACAGTCAAAAAGTAACGGCTTGATTGCTACAACGCCCTTTTTTATCATGTCTTGGGGGCAGGAGAGTGGGAGAGACTGAACAATGAAGGGTGAGCCTGTGTTATTTGCCGACCATTGGCGCCCCTTTCTGTCCGACGCCCTGGGCGGTTGCGCACATGCGCCCTTTTCTTAGGGCACGGGCTGCACGTAGCGAAAGTAATAGAAGTAACGAATACAAAGAAAGAGGAAGACTGAAGAGAGCATGAATGAAATGTGTGAAGACAATGTATTCAAATATAACGGCTGACCGAAATTACTTATAGAGAAGAGTACAAAGATAGTAATTTAGTAATTTATCATACCAAAGAGAAGCAGAATCATTGAAGCGGCTACTAGCGCCCCTCCCATCATGGTGAAGTCCCACTTCGTCTGGAAGGCGAACAGAGTCAGAGCCAAGCATACTCCAGCGGTTATACCGACAGCCATCATCACCTGAAAAAGGAATGCAATGTACTAGCCTGCTATTGCGTCATCATAGCTTCAAAATCCCCGTTTAAAACATATTGATGTCTCAAACATGTCAAAGATAATGACAGGAATGATAATATGTTTTAAACGGGGATTTTGGACTCAGAAACATATTGTTAGATCTACAGATATATTTGTTTCATTCCTTGGATATTTGACTCCAACTTTTGCTTTTAGATCGGCCTGATTGCGCTAAAATAGCAAAATTGAAAGGTGGTAGATGCGTTACTGATCTTTAGTGACACAGTAGGTAATACAGAGAGAGGATACTACCCTTCGTGTATTTCCACAACACACCAAATTTACTACCCTGTTAAGAAAAGTTTGAAAAGAAGATTAGAGTTGGCCTCCGACACCTAGTCATCACGTCGGAATTCTGTTACTAATTCTAGACGCTTGCCCTCTGTGTGATCGTGGCTATTCTACCAGTGTAACTTACTTCAGAGACGCTGTAGATGCTGGTAACCACGCCAAGCATGAAGCTCTGCGCCAGTGTAAAGACGAACAGAAATATAAAGTTGGTTGGCGCGGTGCGTCGTATGTCCGGACAGCAAGCCATAGCAATTATACACGCGAATAGTACCGCTATAGCCACCCATCTGAAAAAGACAAATATTATTACTGTACCATAATCCCTTTGCAATAAAATAACATAATACTAACCTAACTTTTACGAACGAAACGAAACGAAGAAAATCCGACTCTCCGCCGGTGTAGCGGCGCAACACTAGCTTTATATAAATGTCAACGTTTATGTCCCCTCACTAATTAATCTGACATTTGACTTGGTAACAAAAACGCGCCATTCGCGCCAAAGAATACATACATAGTTGATGGATAGATCTGTCTATTAAATTTATTTTGCAATAGTTAAAATATTGATTAATGTTAGATCTAACGAGTTCAATATTACAAATGTTCAAATTTGTAACCGTGACTTTCTGACACCGAAATCGCCGTTTAAAACATATTGATATCTCTGTTTTTTTAAAGATGACAGACAGGGATAACGATATATTTTACAGGTTCCAAAGGTAAATCAGTTATGTTACTTACAATAAATAATTGTTTTGCGCTACCCATCGTTTCGTAGGTTCGTGGAAGAGGAATAAAGCTATGAAGCCCATCGTGATCAACAGCTGGCACATAAGAATGGAGTATACCTTGAAAAAACAATAAAACACTTATTCTGCAATCCAACATCCATACAAAAATTGTATCTTAGTTTTTTCAGATACGATTTGGGGAATGACTGTGTTATGTTAATCGTAATCCATGGTATGAGTCAGTGGCTCAGGGGTTGCAGAACTTTATTTATAATCTGCAGGCTTTGGGTTCAATTCCGCCATGTAACAATGCGTTTTATGGTGAAGGAAAGTATCATGTTGCAACCTGCACATATCTCACCTCTAACTTAGGGTAGGCTCCTAGTCTTCAGTGGGGACGTATAGTGAGCTGATGATGAATTCATGCTAATACCTGGTTTACATTATGCCTCGCTTTTTGCGCTACTGTCTACTTGTCTTTTAGTTTTAAAAGCTCGTTGGATTGCATTAAAGGCTCACCTTTCGTATAAAACCTCTTCGTATACTCTTTTCAGTGAAGTCGAAGCCCTGCATGTGGCCATCTTCTCCGAAGCTCTGTGGAGGAACATACCCCATTGGCTAAAATAAGAAAAAAATCTTCTAATTGTGGTTTGTCATAATTTTCATTCGTTTAAATCGACCTTTAACTCGACATTCGTCACTTATTTGTGAATAAGATTTTATTAGATTGCAGTAATATTAGATACTTAAGTATTGTGAATAAAATAGTAACATTTTAAACCATTTCAAATTAGCTCCATGGTATGTTTAGGTCACTAATATAGCGGAAAGCCAGGATTTGAAAGAGCAATTGAAATAACGATACCATTGGGCAAAAATACTTAATAAAGACTTATAATCATACTAGCAGTATTATTTAATTCTATTTGTAATCTGATAATCACGTTCCATAATATCCAGGAACGCAGAACAATTCTTTTGGCAATCAATAACCAGACCAACATACGACTCAAGAAAATTATCAATGGATGATTCATAAAATTCTCGATAAACTAGACAGACAGACTAGAACAAATCTTACTAATATTATAAATGCAAATGTTGGGATGGATGTTTGTTTAAAAGACCTGAACGGTTGCATAGATCTGGCTGAATTTTGGCATAGGATACTAAATAAGTTTTTTATAATTCCGCGCGGACGGAGTCGCTGGCGAGATGTAACCATAATCTATCACACGTTTGTCGATAGAGATAAACTGTATACTACAAACTACACTAAATACAACTTTATTAACAACATTCTAATTTACTTTATAAATCTCTATAAATATTTGCGATGAAAATATTTAATAGAAATAATTTCAATATACCTGAGACATTTTTGTTAGGAACACGTTATCACTGATACGCAGTCACAAGTAAACTATGATAAGCTTAGCAAAGGCCAATGAGATCGATAAATACGTTGATTTTAACAATTTAGCGATAAAAATGTATTACTCACTAGCAAATGCAGTAACTATCTTACACACTAAAAGATAATTTAACTATTTAACTCTAGACTAAGTAAATCAGCCTCAAAATGATTCAAAAGATCCCATCACATAGATTTGAACCGTTGAGTTGTCTCAAGAAATAAATTGGCAGCTCATAGCTTATAACGATGTACTTTAGCTCGAAGAGCCGCAAGATTGACTCGCAGTTAACAGCTCTAAACCCCAAATCATAATTCTGCTAAATAACAAAAAAAATCATAACTCTATGCAGGTACAATTTGAATTGAACTGCGAGCCGGTTCACTAATTAGCTTCTCACATGTGGTGGTGCTCACCAATGACCTGATTTGCAAGTCATCAATTTTAGATGGGTTTTTGTTGGGTTCTGAGACTAATATGACTAAATAAAACTTAATATCTTCCTTCTTGTCATTGTATTTGACATAACAGATATAACGATATGTTTTAAACGGGGAATTTGGTCTTAGAAACACACGGTTACTCATGGCTACTTAACTCTATGACCTCGGAATTAAGTCAAGAGCCAATTAGGTTTATCATATATCAAAATATTTGATAGAGATATTGAGTTAGAGTTTAAGATTATTTGGATTAGACAGTTTAAAGGTTGTTAAAATCGGAAATGTTTCCGCGGCGAGAACCCGTTGATGACGTCTGAACACGGCGCTGTATGTTGGCAAAACGATTCGCACTTCTACTATTCGCCCGTACTTCCTTTGTGATGACAATTTGAACATATTACTAACGTCGGACATTAATAAGTCAAATGTAGTAAAAGTGAACCCTGAGATCCAAGACCCCTTCATATCGAATTAGTGTACAAGATGGCCGATATGTAGCGATTTTATGGTAGTATTTTTCTACTAAAAAGCAAAATCATGACTTACAAGCTGTCGCCTGCGAGTCCGTCTGCGTGTTATTAAAAAAAACTTAATAGGTGTTCAAGGAGTTTTTACACTTCAGCAGCCATTAAAACTAAGAAAAAAGAAGAAATTTAAACTTTTGAATTTAGTAATGTCAGAACAGTTTTCTATGTCTTTTTGTTATTCGTGTTCAACAATATTAACACATTTTTCTTCAAACAAGGGTTTTTTATTTAAACCCCTGTACAATAGGTATATTGTTCTTCTAGACTTATGTTCTACATAGCCAAATTCAATCATGATCCGTCGAACCGTTCTGGAGATATCTTCTAACAAACATCTATCCTCTTAACTTTCTCATTTATAATATTAGAACGATGACCTAATATTTAGGTCTTTGTTTTTTTTTAATTTGTGAAAAAACAGAACTGATTCATTGAAGAGTTTATATGAAATAAAACAACATTCAGATGTCCATCTATCACAGAATTTATTCAAGAAAAAAAAAACATTAACGACCCGAAGGACCACAAATTATATTTAATATAACATACTTATTTAAATCTATACTAAGTTATATATTAGACAGACAATAAAGCATAGGATTTAATATAGAAAGCTATTTTTTTATAAATTTAGAAATAAAATCTTATTGCTTTGGAATGTAAGACAAAACATGGCAACATTGTCTTTGACATTTTTTGACAAAGATAAAGCAAAATATAATCCGAAAAACATATCTGACCCGGTTAGAGACACTTATAATATATATAAAACCAATTTTAGCATATAAAACTACAAGAAAAAAAACGATAACTACCATATAACAAGTATAGGACACATTTTTGACATTTCCAGGAGGGCGCTAGTGTGCCATCTTAAGTTAATTCAACTTTAACCGAATCAGATAATGTGTATAATATTTACACTGAATAAACTTTGTATGTATGTATGAATTGTATGTAATGAGGTTTTATTTGTTTTTATAAATATATAAATATATTTGTCTAAATATTACGTAAGATTCTTAATATCATTTAAAGTGTTACGTTTAACAAATAATACTATTCATTGTGGTTGTAACACTGTTTACAACATATTATATTTAATTAAAAAAAAGAGCTATAATTGATATATAACGAGCAGCTATAATTTTAGTATAGATAAAAGGTAAATACATAAGCAATCTTATTAATCATCATCATCAGCTCACTATACATCCCCACTGAGGGTCTCGGAGCCTACCCTAAGTTAACACGTTAGCTGCCATGTCGGACTATGTGTCCGACAAGCCATACTTCCATTCAACACTTCACTGTGGCTTTTTAATCGAATTGTTGTATACAACGTGACCCGCAAGGCCCCATTCAAATGGTTTTGGACATAATTATTTTTTTTTCGTTTTTCTTAAAATCTTTCTGCCAGCTAACGTGTTAAGGATGATTAGGCCATAGTCTGACGTTCTTATCGTGATGCTGCACATATCTGAGAAGAAATTCAAAGATATGTGTGAAGTCAACCCGCACTTGGCCAGCGTGGTTGACTATGGCCTAATTTATTTAAATACGTAGTTCAAATATTATTGTCGTTTATTTTATCTTTTTATTAATAATAGTGTGTTAATATTAGGATTTTTTTATATTTTTTTAAGTAGGTTTTTGATGTTGACTAGTCATATATGTTTTATATATATATATATATTTAAAAATGCTCTCAGTACATATTTACCACAAATAAAATACTGCTAATGTACGACCACAATGACATTAAAAGTGGAGTTAATTATATAAATAAAAAAAAAACATTAAAAAAGCTGAGCTGTTCTTTGACAGTCTGCGTGTTGACGCCTTTGGTAGCTTTACATCTGGAAATATTAAAAAACAATAATTGTTACATGTTTTGAAATTAGTAAACAGTGTTATTTTCATTATTCCATATCTCAAGTAAACGTTTTGTACATATGAAGCTTTTGGAATAAAAAAAAAAAGATTTTTTAACTTTTTTTTTTAAAAATCTGTTCTTTTAAAGCAATTATGACAGATCGAAATCACTCATACACATTATTATTAGAAAAGTACTATAGAAATGTACTGTGATAACGAAATTTTGTAAGAAATTTAAAAAAAAATCACAAGAAATTACATCAAATAATGAAACGCAACACCCTTTGAATAAAGAAATAATTATGAAAATCGGACAACAAGAACAAAAAAAAAACAGACGGATTGAGAACCTCCTTCTTTTTGAAGGTTAAAAATATGACGCAAGAGAATACATACGATAATTTAATCCCGACTGGCTCCAATAATAGTCAATATATATATGAAGATATTGATGACGTCGAGGTAGAGGTTGAGCGCCGCGAACACGTACTCCTCGGGGGAGATGCTGTACTTGTGGGAGCCGCCCATCATCAGCTGCGTGTCGTACACCAGGTAGATGGAGAACAGCAGGGCGCCCAGTGAGGCGTACACCAGCGTTACGATGCGGTTGCCCGGCAGGAACATCGCTATCAGACCTGAAATATTATTGTCATACATATTATCTGTTTAAGTGATTTTTGCTTCATTCTAGATTTTTTTAATCTCATTTTTTTTGGTATTTTTCTCCTCAGCGGTCAATAACTTACCGAACAAGAGAAGTACAACAGTGGCACAGAGCAGGATGCCCCCCATAGCGGTGAAGTCGTATTTAGTCTGCATCGCGAACAGCGTCAGCGTCAGGCAGATCACCGCCGTGATGCCCACCGCCATCATCACCTGGTGACACAACCAATGTACCATTCACTACCTGTCGCAAGTGACATCGTCTGCGCGGAATTAAAACAAGCAGCCTATGTGTTCGTTAAGTCGTTCTGATTACTTCTAACATCCATCCATCTATACATTCATCCATACATTTGAATTTATAATCTTAGTAAGATAGTAGATAACGGTCACTTAAATTCGCCGAAAAAGCGACTACTGTTTATAGACAGGGCCGGATTTAACATTTCTGGCCTGGGTGTCATTTTTATGGCGCTTTTTTAGATTTCGGAAGAAAATGACCATAGTTAGGGTATTAGGTGGTTCCAAGCGCCTCTTTATATCTAACTCTGACGCCTGCAGTGCCCTATGATATCCAGCGCCCTGGGCGGTCACCCCATGTCTCCCTACCCTAACACTGAGGAAACACTGAAAGATTTCCCCTTCCTATACATTCCCTGTTTAATTTCATTATTCAGCCATTAATGACCTTTATAAATGCAGTAACTTTAAGATATTTTGTGCCTAATTGATTTACGCCATTATGACCTTGAAAGTAACGATTTGTAGCGGTGATGAGATCAAACTAATAATATATAACGGGGGTGTTTGGGGGGTGTTGTGGTGGTGTCATACCGCAGTGCCATCGTACATGCTGCTGGTGACTCCGAGCAGGAAGCTCTCAGCGACGGTGAAGATGCCGAGGAAGATGAAGTTCATGGGAGCCTGCCGGCGCACGTTGCCGCAGCACGACATTACTATCAGACAGATGAACACCACCGCGAAAGCTATCCAGCTGGAAAATATCATTTTATTCTTTTTAATTGCTTCTAATAACATTTTTAGAGTTCCGTACTGCGGAAGGAAAAAAACGGAACCCTTTAAGGATCAATTTGTTATCCGTCTGTCTCAACACACTTTTTTAAACCTTACTAATCCTAAATTTAAAATAACGATATGGATCTTAATAAAAAAACTTTTTTATTAATTATTTTGTCTCCACCTTATTATTATTATCACGTCATCAGCATTGATCAACTAAACACTATAAGGTATACTTCTGGCACACCTCTGTCATACCCCTATTTTCAATACTAGCGGCCATCAGACTTCGTCAGAACAGAACCTTAAAAAGTAACCTATAACATGCCCGCGTCAGTTAACCTTCAGTCAAAGTCCCGTCAAAATCGGAACAGCCGTTCTGGAGATGCCTGATAAAAAACATCCATACATCCATCTAAATATTCGCATATATATTACTAGCTGTAACACGCGACTCCGTCCGCATGAAATTTAAAAAAAAACTTATTTAGTTAATACCCCTCTGTGTTCTTTCAGATTATATTCTACATCTATTTCAGCAAGATCCATACAGCCATTCTGGAGATACCTTGTAACAAACATCCATCCATCCATACAATCTCAAGTATAATATTCGTAAGAAGTAATACAAGTGAGTAGGTACTTACAACATGAAGGTGTTCCTCTGCACCCACATCTGCGTGGGCTTGTGGAACACGAAGAGCGTGATGAAGCCCAGCGTCACCAGCAGCTGACACATCAGGATTGAATACACCTGAAACATGTGAATAAAAACATTGCATTACTTGGAAGTCACCAAAAGGAATAATAAACATTTAGAGTTTCGATGGCTCAGGGGTTACTTGACTTGTAATTTGCAGCTGCTGGGTTCGAATCCCGTCCATATGTACATTTATCCGACCTTCTTACGGTGAAGGAAAACGTGATGCTACACATATCTAATAGGAGAAATTCAAAGATATATAAGTCAATCCGCACTGGGCTGTGGTCGACTATGGCTTAGTCACCCCTAACTTAGGGTTGACTCCTTACATTTTTTTAATACTAGCACCAAGCAAATTTCCACCTTAATAAATAAAAAAGAAAGCAAATTCATCTTACCTTCCGTATGAAAGCCTTGCGTATGCTCTGCTCATTGAAATCGAAGCCTTTGACGTCACCATCTTCGCCCAGACTGCCCTGACCCGGACCCGGATATCCGGCCGGCTGGAAACATTAATAATTTTTTTTATATCTTGTTCAAATAATCAACCTGTCCTTTTCCCCCATGTATGTACTCTACCATAAATCAATTGTCATATTTGTCACTCTTACGCATATCCTCTTTCTCATTATCGATTTCTTGTTCCAATAACAAAACTGTATTATTTTAACCATTTACATTTCACGTAAAAACTAATAAGTTAAACAATTTCTTTTCAAAACTGAACAGAATAGAAAACATTTGTTACTAAAACATAGCTTAAATACCACAAAGAACCTTTCAAACATGATGCAATTTTCTACTGGGCTGTTAGATTCACTTATGCAGTAATTTCATAAAAAATAACATAATTAGACGTGAATTTTTATTGACAAAATCAAAGCTCTATAGATTTATGAAAGCCAAATTGTCAAAGAAGTAGTACAACAACGTTACAACCAATTTAAACCAACCTAAGTAATATTGACATGCGCATATTCTCTAGACTCAAATATTCACACACTATTGCATCGTAACCTCTTTCAAAATTTTATTGTTCAACCCTACTACTAAACGACCATAATATTGCCAAACTCGTATTTATTTCTTACATCGTGCACCCTTGCCTTGTATCCCAGAGGACTTGGAACTCTTTGTGAGCCACCACAGACATAGAAGTCATAGATATACTAACCTCACCAAATCCGGCACCTCCATAACCGGGTTGGAAGCCAGGCTGCGCCGGGTAGCCGGCTTGAGGCGGATACCCGCCCGGGGGATAACCTCCTGGTGGGGGATAACCTCCTTGCGGGTAGCCACCTTGCGGGTAGCCCCCTTGTGGGTAACCACCTTGCGGATATCCTCCCTGGGGATATCCACCTTGCGCTGATTGATCTGGTAAATAATAATTTTATTGTCACATATTATTCCAACTAGTTGACAAAAAAGCATGCATGTTGGGAGTTGTAAAATGTCGCTCAAATTTGACCTTGAATTATAATTTTATTCTTGAGTTTATTTCTATCATAATACGTTTAGCAACATTTTATAGCTCTTAATACAAATCTGTACACACAAGCTTAGGTGAGAAACATCGATGAAAAGTGAAATTAACAATTAGATGTGCTGGACTTATGTAATTATTACGTGATACAAAATATAATTCGGGTCTAGCACTAAGTGAACATTAGACTCTGAGATGATTAATCTTGAATATTACTGTAATTTCAAAGTAATATAAGTGTTCACTTCTCAATTCCTAGAAATACAACATTAAAAACCATACAAGATAGTTGCTTCGAGTTTCAATGTCATATCAAATGATATTAAATACTTCACGTATTTAATTTCATCAAAATCGATATATAAAATTGCATTGTGCTGTATGTCTGTACATAACTTAGTATTGCTTCAAAGTAAATTGTAAAGCTAAAGTAAAAATAATTATAAAAAAAAACGTAATTTAGAAACCTTTGTTTTCTGCCATCCTTGAATCCACCACACTAATAAATCTTTACTTAATTATTTATTATAATTGCAATAAAAAACACTGATATTTTAAACTTTCTTGTAAAATGAAACGTTAAGAGGAATTAAAAAGAAAATTATTAATCACCCAAACATTAAAAAAAATACTGGCCAGTAACAACAATTACAAAATGGCGTCCAGAAAAAGTTTACAAACGGGGGAGTCCTTTAAATGCGTCAGACAAGAATACAATGAAATAAATCTTTGTATACTCTGTGGAGATATGAAAATCGCAACGTGATCTGCGCATGGCAATTCAGTCCTTTTAACAAGGGCAAATAAAGTCGATATTAGCCTACGCACTATGAGTCACAGTTTCACACATGCGCAATGTTTTCAAAACAACAGTGCAATATTGAAATGTATTACAAAGGCAAAGAAAATTGAACTTTAATCCTATCATCTTAAGGATACAAATAAAATAAGATAACCGGACGTGATAATTACGTTATTCAAGGTTCTAAGCGTGTGAAAAATAATCATGTTTGGATTTGCTATTTAATATTAACAATACTTTTTTTCTTTCAATGTTTCCCTCAATAACTACGTGGGTACACCAATCATTTAAACCACGATTGTCGCTTATACCCCTTAGGCTTTATGAAGAAATTAATTAACTCATTTTCAATCTGATTTATACCCTTACTTTGTGCTATCACAATAAAAAGGTATATTAAATTAATTTATTAAACATTGAGAACAAAACCCCTATACAAAAAACCTATCTTTATCCCCCTCATTATCTTACTAATATTAATCAACGGCTGAACGGATCTCGAATTAAATTTACCATACATATATAACAGTCTGGAAGAAAACAGCTGTTATTTTTTTAACTCTGCGAGGCAGAGTCGCGGGCGACAGCTAGTCTTTTATAAAACAGATATAATATATTTGACATAAGTTAAAAAATATAATTTCATAAAAATTATCTGAAGTCAAGCATACGTAAGCCATTCCAATAATAGCTGCGAAATCAATATTGTAATGCCACGCCCACCTTATAGGGCTGTCAACTTTTAATAAACGTAGACGAATACTGGTACCAAAAATGACCTCTAAAAAACAACTGACTAGTGTCACTCATTTCGACCCAAAGACACATAACCCGAATACTAAATACAAAAAGAAATCGAGTCAAATTGGAAGAGTTGACAACCCTAGCAGGTAATTAGGAAAGGACATCAGCTATATTCGGATTACAGGGTCACCATCGATCGTTAATACGTCAAGTATAAAATAACTTGTTTTTCAACGAAAAGCTTTGTTCACTTGATTGATGGAATTTACTTAATATTCGATTGACCTTAGCAGTGAAGGACTTAAATTTATATCGATTTTTGTGTTTGAACTAGTATTCCATACTTTTATTACAGGCACCAGAAATATGTCAAAGAAACAATCTTACTAATATTATAAATGCGAATGTTTGGATGGATGTTTGTTCAAAGGTATATATACAAAACGGCTGAACGGATCTCGATGAAATTTGGCATACATATAGTCTGGAAGAACACATAAGCTATTTATTAAGTTTTTTTTTTAATTCCGGGCAGATGGAGTCGCGGCCGACAATTAGTAGTAAACATACTTCAAACAGTCCATTTAAAATGTGGAAATAATTTATACTAAGTTGAAAACAACTACATATAATCTATCCTTCTGAGGTTTCCCGTTTCAATCCGCTTAAGAATCCACAAAAATGGTATCGAGATCGCTTTAAAACGAGGTTGACTATTCATTTAATAATTAAGTCACTGGCCAGTTGTTAATTAAAACGAATTCTTGAAATGGAACAAGTTTTTTTTTAAACGTACGAGTATATTTTAAAATAAGATCATACTAAACTATAATACCTCCAAGCGGAATTAAAAAAAAAACTTTTTAAGTAACCTATGATTTTTTCCAGACTGCATTCTACATCTGTGCCAAATTTCATGAAGATCCGTTGAGCCATGCCGGAGATACCTTCTAACATCCATCGATCCATCCATACATCTAAACATTCGCATTTATAATAATATTAGTGAGATTAATGGATACAAACTCACGTATTTCTTTGGTATTTGGCACCGATTAGTTTCGGACCCATCGGGGGCCTTTGATCAGGGTAGGGGTGACAGGTAAAAATACGCGACTGTAACCGTTTAGTTCATTATAATGTCTCACGAAAGTTTAAATAATAAAATCAAAATAAAACATATTAAATTAATAGTAGCTTAACAATATATTTTCACATTTTTTTTCTCTTTGAAAAAGAAAACAATTATGTTTCAGTGCACTAATGAAATTTATTTTCTTTCTACAACAAAAAAAAAATGGACGCTATTACGTCGTCTGATAAAAGACCGAGAAAGGGGGTAATTTTATCTTTCATGTAACTGACGCATCTTTGATTGCACAAGAATTATATTACGCAACTAATGTTGAAGACCATTTTATATTGTATGTATGACTCATGTATGTCAGATAAATTTGTAACTTTAGTACATTGACGTTTATTATAAAGAAAAAAACACTTTTATTATATTATACTAATATTATAAATGTGAATAGATGTTTGTTAAAAATTATCTCAAGAATGAAAGAATGGATGTCGCTGAAATTTCGTATAGATGTAGAACATAATCGGAAGAACACATAGGGTACTTTTTGATTTGTTTTTATTCCGCGCGGAGCCAGATGTGACAGCTAGTATAATATAAACAGATGTAACAAAATCTCACTATAAGTTACATAAATCTCAATTCAAGAAATACTGTTATATATAACTTAAGTAAAGAGAAAAGTAAAAGCTGGATAACATTATTACTTGACATAACTTATATAACAAAATCACATTCACAAAACTTGTCATATATTCAAATAAGATTGAATTTACATATTTGAATGTGTGAACAAAACTGATATTAGGAATAAAGCAGTGATTCCGAGATATGTAAAATTATTGACATATAAAAGTGTCTGTTCGGAAAAATCTCACCAATCCAGTAACAATAACAAAGCAACAGCCCGATCCGAGGCTCCTGAGGGAGCCCTCGAGTCTTGTTACTATTAAACGAGGTTCAGGCTAAGCGCCATCTGTGCTCGGCTAACTCAAGCCCAGTGAAGCTGTAAATGCCTCTTCAAGGCAACCAGTGA